GGCTAAATGTGTGGGGAGGGCTTTTCATTTGTTTTTTTTTTTTTTTTTTTTTTTTTAGAATTATATTGAACTCAACTATTTAGGCTCCTTTTCTTCAAGTTCCAGAAGCTCTAGCTGCAAATAAAGAAAAATATGCATGTCATAGCACAGTGTGGTGAAAAAGGCCTGAGCTAAAGCTGCCAAGAGTGAACGTGAACATGAGATTAAGCTACAAGGAAAAAAAAAAAAGCAAAGTGATCATTTTATCAGGGGTGGTATCATCTATTTATTGGTTTCTTAATCATTCGTAATTCTGTGCAGTTACCTGTGGATTTGTCGGGTTTTGAAGCAAAGAGCCGTGCACTACTCGGCTGCAACCTGCAGAGGCGCTGTTCAGTCAGTGACAACTATTTTCTGTTCTGATGAACAAAGCGATGGCAAGTTAAGACACATCCACAAAGAGCGGCGGGCATTGTTGGGCGCAATACAACACTGGCGCGGAAGCAGAAGCTCAGCACATCCAGAGATTCTGCCACCCCTTTCAAAGTATTTAAAAAATAACACTTGATCGATTGTGCGCGGATATTTACCCAGAATAGAATAAAATATGTTCCAGGAAAAAAAGAGCATAGTTGAAGCATTTAACAAGTGTATTCATAATTCATATACATATTGACAACTTTTGTGATACAACATGGTTCTGATAGTGTTACTGCTGTCTTCTAGCTTGATTCTTTTTTTTTTTCCTCGTACAAGAATAACAATAAAAAATGATCAAGACAACACCATGTACAACTTACAGTTTGAAATCGGATGGCAATGTCTCTTTTGAATGGATTTTGGATCTCCCGCTGTGCCAGCGCTGGAAAAACTACTTAGTGAAGCTTGGTCCCCGTTGGCCTGTGCGGCCAAGTGGCCAATCGCAGCCGTCCACAACATCCTCAATATTCGTGTTGTCTTATTCCCCAAAGTGTTACCGAAGGCGTGACTGACGCCCGCTCGTCACAATTCCTACGTAGTGCCCACCATGCGCTTGCGCAATGCTGGGCACCGCTCAATGTCCTTCATCTTCGATCTTAGTCCGCTCCGCATGGTCAAAGATAGCCTGGACGTTGGTCCATCGCTTTACCTTCTCCGCGCACGTGAGGAACATTTATGCTCCAAAAATAAGACTGTGTCCATCTGATTTTTCAGGAATACTCGCTGTACCGTAAAAAGCTCATGATGAAAAATAAGAACACTTTTCAAAAAGGACCAGAATGGTATAGCACTTTCTTTCTCTTACCCATTCGCTCACACTCACACGCACACACTTACACTCCATTGAAAGGCAACAAATGTCCGTTCTCCAAGGCAATAAATGTCTTTGTGGCAAACTTGACCCTGACATTCCAGGACATCAATTTGGCTCCTCTCTCTCTCTCCAGGAACGAAAGAAAGAAGGGAGGGGAAAAATGCAGACAATTAACGTTTTGACGAAATATAAAGTGAAATACATCCATTTTATCATTACGGGTAAATACTGATGAGGATACAAAAATAATAATGAGGGCTAAAATATGACTTCATTTTGATATCATGAGATAAAATACTATTTGCGAGAGAACCTCCCAATCACTCTTTTCTCAGGTTGACATCCTGTTTTCTCCCAACAGGCCTCCTTTAAAACAATCAAAAGAATATCCAGACTAAAAAAAAGGTACATGTTAAAATAGGTGATGATGAGCAAGAATTGAACACTTAGGGGGGTGTTTCAAGAAAACCAAAGTGAGCCCAGAGAAGAAATTTGCTTCTTTTGTTCTTGACTGAAACGTTCCTTTGTTCCCCTGTCACTCGATTCCACTTCGATCTCCGTGTTTTCTTTTTAAGGTCTTTTTCCTTCCGCTTTGTTCGTCTAATCTGCGTGTTTGGGTCTTTTTCTGCTTTGAAGTCAAAGAGCAATAATAGCGGCCTCTTTTCTGTAATGTCTTGAATGGAAATGATTCAGATTCCTGGTGAAATTGTACATTCCCTTTTGGTGCCCGGCCCTGCGCAAGTCGTCTTCACGCCGAGTCGCATCTCAGAGCCGACCTCTTGTCCAAACCTGCGCACAAAGAGAAAACACATTGAGATACAAACATCTCACACTGTGCATTCATGGTCCTACAAACCCCAATTCCAATGAACATGAGTGTGTATAAAAACAGAATATGCTGATTTACAATTTCAATCTATTGAACACAATGCCCAGCCGTATTCTGCGCGCGTTAAAACAGAGTGGCTGCGTAGTCATAGAGTGTCAATGCGACCTGAAAATGTTATGAAGAGCAAAACCCAACAACTGAGACCTCGGTCTGTTGAGCGACTGAAGTTGCACTTCAAGGAAGACTAAGAAAGAATTCCACTGAGAAAATGTCAACAATTCGCTAATCAGTTTGCAAACACTGAGGTGATTTGAGAAGTAAGGTGATGTAACACTGGTGGTAAACATGCCTGTGTCGCAGCTTTTTGGGAATGCGTTGCAGGCAAATACAAAATGAGTGACAATCTGCAACAACCCCCCCCCCCCCCCACAAAAAAAAAAAAAAAAAACAAAACGGTCGTACCTTGATGAACTAGTTATGGCCCTGGATCAGGCGTGGATAAAAACGAGACAAAGAGAACAGCGGTGGGGTGCCGGCTGCCTCGGCAACCGTTATTCATAGCCTCGCACCGACGCCGTTGAGACCGGCAACCTTGAGACCGTATTCATCAAACTGCTCTACGAGGTGGTCCGGCTCAAAATGAAAAGATTTTGCTGAAGACATCCTGCGCATATTGTTTGCTGACCTTTGACTGTTTTCTTCCCTTCCTGACACAGCCTATCTATTTTATTCCTCGTTTTGGGACCGGTGGTGGCCGGGTATGAAGGCACTGAACGGGAATCGAACCCAAGTAGAACCCAAAGACAGAAGCAGTACAAACCACGACCCCGATGGGCAGGTGTTTAAAGCGTCTGAGGTTCAGGGCTGTGTCTGAAGACCAGTCCGAGGTGTAACTGTAGATTTCAGCTCACAGCTACCCAAATGAGGCCAAGCAGTGCAGAAACTGGTTGGATGGATTTTTGTGCCTGTTGCTGACCGATGGCAGAGCGCCATTTATTTCAAGGTATTTATGGTTTGCTTTCATTTCATTCTACATGTGAAAAGAAACTAAATAAGAGGGAAAAACGGAGAAAATCATCAAATGGTTTCGACCAGAGTCCCCGTTTCGACTGGATAAGATAAAAAATGAAACATGAGTAAATTTACCGCTTCCAGACGGAATAAGTCTCACCCTCTCTCAGACTGCTCCAGGTACATGGATTTGGCGGGCCGGAAGTTCTGGGTTACCTGCAGAGGGAACGGTTGACCAAACGGGTCAATAAGCGATAGTATGAAATAATGATGTATGATATAAAAACCTATTCTGTGTCATAACACTATGGTGTTTACATTATTTTACTTTAAACAGTCCCTCGTCTCAAGCCTGAAAGAGTTGACCAGCTTTTTATCCCTTGACCAAAAAGTGAAAAAGCTATTGAAAAGCTTGCATTTCATATCAGAGCACTCTACCTCTGAAAAAGTTCTTCTATTAGCATTACTGGTGAAACAGTATTTGAACAATATTTGAAGTACTTAACTGTATTTATTTCAATTCTTTGCACAACTGCGTTGGTTCTGCTTGCAAATATTTGGAATGGCGATTGTGCACTGCATATTTGTACTTTAATCTGTGATTTACCTTTTACTGATTGTATTTTCTATTTAAATAGGGTTATATAAATACATAGAGAAAAGATGAGAATATTTCTATTAATTTCGTGTCATTTTATGTAAAAATACAATATTGGGGCATATATCATGATCGGGACTTACAAATTCTGATATAAAATCCTGTCCATACTGCATAGGGCTTGTCTGAGAAATATGAAAATTGACCTTGCTACTTTACCTTGTGCTTTGGACACCGCAATGAGAAGTTATCTTCATTGAGAGAACAATCTGGAAGGGAGAGGGGGTGAATAAATAACAGGTCGGCCTTCCAAAACCCATCTATTAAGAATACCAGGTATTATTCTGGAAAGTGACAACGTTACCAAAAAGAACCGCTGATACATTATAACCATTCAGAAAATGTATTTGTAAGCCTTTGGCTCACCTGTTTCAATGGCACAAAGATAGTGATATCGACGGATACAGCCTTTACTGTAGCAGCCCAGGGTGGAGCCAACCATCTCACAGTATGAACAGCTCTAGGACACAAAGAACAGAAATGTACATGAGCAATCAGGACATGACACAGGAGCCACTTAAATCAGCAGCTCCCTTTGAAACGGATACAAAAAAAAAAAAAGATAATAATAATAATAATAATAATTCACTGGGACTTTCCCTTGAAAAGAGCCCAGGGTGGAGCCAACCATCTCACAGTATGAACAGCTCTAGGACACAAAGAACAGAAATGTACATGAGCAATCAGGACATGACACAGGAGCCACTTAAATCAGCAGCTCCCTTTGAAACGGATACAAAAAAAAAAAAAAGATAATAATAATAATAATAATAATTCACTGGGACTTTCACTTGAAAAGAAAAATTGCAACAGATGACACAGATCTACTTACTGTTTCTCTGGCACCATCTAGTGCCTCCTGCAGGCCGTACAGCCTCCCATTGACAAGATATACTCCACTGGTCCACACGATGCATCCTTCATGAACCCACAACTCCTCTGGGTCCATGGGCATCTGAGGCAACTGGGCAAGTTGCGCCAACGGTCCCAGGGAGTCCAAAGCCGGCGGCGGAGGTTGAAAGGGCAGAGAGGCCTTACTGTTGGACGGCACCATTCTGGGGGAGTCCTCGCTCGATTTGTGCCTCCGTTTAAAGCGTGGATGTGAGGTCAGCTTTCGGTGTTGCGGTCGTTGCTGGGCTTCCTCTGCTGGCTGCTCCTGTGGCTGTTTTGGCAGCTGCAGCTGCTGCTGCTGCTGCTGCGACGTGTCAAAGTCCGGCTCTCTTTTTAGCTCTGGAATAGGTATGATATCAAAGTTCACGTCCCAGGATAAAGATGGCGTTTTATTGGCGGTATAAGAAGAGGCAATGGCGCTGGACTCGCCAATCACATCCTCTCTAAAAGTTAAGGGAGGAGCACTTACTGCGGCGGAAAGAGATTTAAGATTTAAATCCAAGTTTACGGTGCAGTTACTTGTAGCCACGGGTCTGGAGAACGGAACATGTTGTTTTTGCAAGTTCTGCAAAGTGTCCAAAGCGTTTGAGCCGATTTGTGGGTTTGGTGCCGTTTTGGTTGCACCTGTGGTGGTGTGACATTGTCGAAGCTGGGGCTGGTTTTTGGGGAGCTTGGCAGCATATTCTGCAGGATAGTATGGCCCATAAAGATCTCCGAGGTGCTTGTAATTGGCCCATTTTTGACACAGACAGCACAGCTGACGCCCAGAGTGTTTAGTTTCTGTAACAGCAGGTCCGGAAACAACGTAGTCAGAAGAAGGAAGCGCTTTTCCCGACTGAAGTGTCGTCTCCACCTGGTCCGTCTCCCTCAGCTCTGATTCTCTCTTTGATGACTGTGAGTAAAGAGTTGAGGGTGGTAGAGAATCAATAGCGCCGACACCCGTTTTCCCTCCATTTGCACTACGCTCGCCTTTTAACTTGTCGTCCTCAGCATTTACAATGGTGCACACCGACCCAATCTCGGGTATTTTGTTCTCCACGTGAATGTGTGGCACAAACAGGCCTTTGAGATTTGGATCCAGGAATGCTCTATTGATGCTGTTGGCTCCTTTTGCCCCCAGCAGCATTTCTGGGTTATCTTTAGCCGCTGATTGTGATGACGGTGCCCCTGCTCTCCTTATTCTTTGACGGCCTCTTCTTTCCGGCGAGCCGCCTTCATCTTTCAAACCTTTGCGCCGCCGTCTCGCAGGTTTCACTTCAATCTCAGGCTGACTCAATTGATTCTCAACATCCACTTTTACCATCTGGGTTAAAGTGGGCGGCGTCAGAGGAGGAGTGCTTTTGTTTTCCAAGATGCAGGTGGCTGTGCTGGTTGCAGTTTGAACTATGTCCGGTACTATAAGGGCGGCTGAAACGGGAGTTGGTGGCGGTTGAGAAGAATTCTGATTCATGGTTTGAGCTGGGACTTGAGACTGGATCGGTGTTTGGGCTTGGGTTGGGAGACGCTTTTGTTTATTCACACTTCCAACGGGTCTGCCCTTCTTCTTGCCAGATGGAAAATAGCCTTTAGGCACAGCGCTATCTGAAGCCTTACAATCTTGTATGGACAGATTTGGCCGAGGAGAGGACATTTGATGTCTGCTCAGAACATGTCCTTGAGACTGGCTATGATGTGGTGAGGTCGCGCCGTAGTAGTCACTACCAGCATAGTCATCAAATCCCATGCCAGATTCTTGAAGTTTCTGTCGAAGAAGGTTGGCAGCGGACTGCTCTCCTCTTCTTGTCTCAAGCTGCTGGTAAGTATTGGTGAAATGCTGAATGTCTGACAGGGCAGATGAAGATGGAGGAGGAGAACCCTGAACCGGGCGAGGGAGGGGTGGAGGAGGGGGTAAAGGCCCGAGCAGTGCAAAGTCTTCCTTGTCACCGGATGCTGATACCACAGCACCTCCTAAGCCAAAGTCAAAATCTTTTTGCTTGCGGGTTTGTGGATCACACGGGTAGCCAGACAGTGGCAACGGGCCAGTCTCATCTACACCTCTGAAGGACATCATGTCATTTAACGAGTGAGTGTCGTCAATGTAACCATCATCCCCTCCGGCAACTCTGGGAAAATGGGTCATGTCTTGGTCCTGTGACGCACTAAACGGTGGCATTGTGGCATTAGTAAAGCCCGGGTAATGATTTGTTCCATCATCACCGATGCCTGGAGGCTTTCCAACACTTGGTGATATTTTCTGAACAATTGCCTCCAGTTTCAAACCGCGTCCTTTCTTTGGAGGCAAGGCCTTTGTACTTCCACTTAATGGAGAGAGAGATTTGGGAAAGATATTATCGCCAGGCAAAGGGGAAGAGAGATGTGGAATATCAGAAGATGACGATTCGTCTTCATTGCGATGGTTTGACTCCGAGTGCGCTCCAGTAGGGTGTGAATTTGCGGCAGCCCTCTGCTGAGACGCATCCTGCATTAGTCGTTTGGCAGGAATAGGAGAGATAAAAGAACGCACTCTCCTTCTCAATATAAGAGGATTTGTCTCTCCAGGACCACCAGACTTAGTTTGACGCTGCACCTGTGGTTGAGCAGGAGTTACGTCAGTCTGAGGTTTAGTAGAGTTGCACGAAGGAGGAAAGCAGGGACGTTTGGTTTCCTCAAGTTCAGTTGTGTTCGGGCCATGAGCCTTCGGTGGAACCTGTGAAACTGCAGGAACAGATGACGGCGGCGGAAGTGCCTGTGTCCTGTAGCAAGAATCGGCATCAACTATTCTAACGCCATCTCTGCCCGGGGGTGTCGACTCCCACATTTTCATGTCATAATATCCGCCTTGGTGATGCAGCAGTGTTTTGCTTGCATGTTGATCACTGTGAATGTCTGCTTGAGGGATCATCCTCTGTCTGTGCTCTGGGTGGCTAACTTTATGCCTTCCTGGGGAAGAAACTGGAATCATCATCATATCCTTGGCGGACCTGTTCATTGCTTTCACCCAATCGTTTATTTCATGAGAATGCTGGAAAGGCCCGCGAGGGTGAGGATACATTTGAAGCTTGTTTGTAATTTGAGCCGGCGGCGATAAATTGTGGTATGGATGGTGGGAAGGAAAATGAGAGTGGCCGTGAGGCACATTGCTTTCTCTGGTGTCTCCAAAGCGATAGCCTGGGAAACTGTTGGCATTGCTTGTTGCTAAATCCGCACCATGAAGATACGACTGATGTCTTGATGGTGATGATAAAGGATTTGCGCTCAGAGATTGGGGCGGCAGGTGTCTGTAGGGGTCAGCGTTTAGCACAATGGATGAATGTGTCGATTTTGAAGAATATTCCATATCACTGTCATGAGTTCCACCGCTGCCATGAAAATCGGGATTTGGGCCGATCTCTTTGGATACCGTTTCAATTTTGACCACTTTTTTCTCTAAAAGGTCCTTTTTACTCATATCATTGGCTGATGCTGGGGAGGAAAACGGCTGCTGAATGACAGAGGCCGCGTTCTGATTCTTCTCTCGCTCTCTGTTACTGTCCCTGTCCTTCTCTGGTGTGCTCCGTGTATTTGGTGACACATCACAGATGACAGAGCGACGTTCAGATTTCTGAGATTCTCCTTGAACGGTGCACCCTTTCAGTGGCTCGGGCTCTTGCAAAAGCAGCTCCTGTACAGCAGATGATGAAGTGGACTTACTGGGCAATGTTTTTCTTTGTGGAAGAGAATAGTCGGCTAAATTGATGTGTTTCGGTTGGATTGGCTGTGCGTCTGAGGCTGCTGGTAAATGATCCTCAGAGAAATCTGCTTCTTTTTTGGCAGTATTTTGCAAAAGCTTGGGATTGGAAACGTCCATCTTAATGGAGGATTGAAGACCTGTGGCAAAATTGTTTTTACTTCCAAGTCGATGATTGGGATGTTGGGGCTTTCCAGCAGTGCCCATTAGGGCCAAATTGTCACTGGCTCCACCTTCCATCATCCTCATGTTTTCGGTCATACCATAAGCGTATCTTGTTTGAAATGGTTGTTGAACTTGGAGATGTGCAGGAAATGCCTGTTCTGGTCTTCCATAACGTCTATCTAAATTATAGCCCTGAAGAACCTCTTGTAAAAGGCTCGGGAATTGTTGGATTTGAGAAATGTCCTCTTGCCCTTTTGGTCCGATGGCTTGGCCTCTCTTTCCGAATGACTCGGCGAGAGAACTCAGTTCCTTTGAATGCTCGGGACCATAACCGGAATGCGTTTGCGGATAGTTTCTGGAACTTGATTCCATCACACCTGCTGGCCTCGTCCTTCCTTTCTTCACCAGGGACAAATCAGAGCCATACGATGAGTCTCCAAAGCCATACTTATGTGATCCAAATTGGTTGAGATTGTGGGCCTGCTCCATATTTGATTTTGGGTGCTGAGATGAATATCTACTTAGGTCGATACCTTCCTCTCCGTTATTACTCGACGACTCTTTCAAATAGGATTGTGAGGGTTTCTCCTTCAAACAGAGGTCTTGGGGTTGCTTGCTCTTTTCTACCTGACTTCCCTCGGAACGAGCCGAAACGATCACGCCAACACTTAGCTGCTCCTCAGAAATGGGTTTTTGATCACTCTCGTCATGTGCTGCGGAAGCAGTATGCAACATGTTTTCTTTGTCCTGTCCGTGCTTTGTGCTGATTTCTCCATCTCGAAGTATTTGGCTATTGCCTTTCTCCATTTTCTCAACCCCATCTTCATTTTCGATTTTGATCTGTTCGTTTTTGATTATTTCTGCAGTCTTTTTATGGCTGCCTTTTGAGTTATTATTTAGTAAACTAGGATGTGAGACACGGTTTGGTTGGGGGGGAGTAATAATACAGGAGGTGGATGAGGAAACAGGAGGTTTTGAATGTGAATTTGGGTCAGCATCTGACGAGTGACACTCAGATGGAGATGCTAACGCAGAAGCGGGGCAAACATTTCCTTTTGAGACTATTACTTTTGGTGGTGACTTGTAAGTGAAGGTTTTGGCATTTAATGCTTGTCCAGGTTGTGGCTGGGTTTGACTGTGAGGAGGATGATAAAAAATTGGTTCAGATGCACTGCTTGCACCACTCGTCTGCCTCATTCTCGTATGCCCGCCCTCTATCAAGTGATCCTCTTGCTCTATCTTGGTCTCTGCGGACACATAGGAGGAGTCTTCATCGGCAACACTTTCTAAACAGGGACCTTCGGCAAGTCCTACAACAGTTCCATCTTTAACTGTGCCGGTGCTTGAGGCTGCACTTGCATTTCTACTCCTCGGTGGCAATGGCGGAACACCGTGTGTTGCTTGTTGCACCTGCCCACCATCTTTGCCCTTCTTCTGTGAGAGCACATTGTCGGTGCGGAGCATGTGTTGAATGGTGTTCGGTAAATTTGCGACCTGGGAGCTCAAGGCATTAAGACTATTTACTCCAGTATCCTGCATTTTCCCAACTGGGGGAGATGAATAAACGGAGGGAGAGGGACCTTCCTCTCGGGGCACGAGCCCTGAACCTAGACCAGTTTTGTTGCAGCTTGTTGGTGGCACACTGTTTACTCTAGCAGTACTGATGTTATGACCTTTGTGACTGCCGCTGCTACCACAACTACTGATGCTACTGTTTGAGTTGGGTGTTGGACTTAACTGTGACGCAGCCTGTATTAATCTATGACCGTGACTGCTGCTATGGACAGTAGATGACGGGTGGGAAGGAACAGAGGGGTTCACGTAGGTTTCTGAAACACCCATCAAAGGGGAAGGGGTGGAGCTACAGCTGGGGGAATGTACTGCAGAGGCAGCTGGGGACGGGTTGGAAATTGGGCTGAGGTTTTGGTTCATCTGACTTTGTTGAGGATGCAACGGGGATTTGGCGAGTTCTTGAGATGTTGCAGGAGGTATACTGGGCGTGGAGGCCTGGGGATGTTTAGCATATACAGAGCCGCGGGTTGGGCCCTGGTGCTGCATCTTAAGAGGGTTGTCATAGCCCACACCTAAATTGTGCTGTGTGTTGCAGTGCTGCAGTGTGCCGTCCTTGTTAAGTGTTTGCGTCTGCGGAATATATCCAGCATAGTTTGATGCATGGTAGCGCTGCTCGACGGGCCCCATATTGTTAGCAGCAGATAAACCAGAGGCGGAGTTTGCACTTGAGTTGACACTGTGAGAACTGTTGACTTTGGGATCAAAACCCGTGCTAGCAGTGCCATCAGCATATCTCTGCGGAGGTGGGCTATACATTCCCGATGACCCTGTGGGCGCTCCAGCCTGTGGAGAGTATTGTGGGTATTGAGGGGTCATTCTATGCCCAGAGCTCGGATAACTCCGATGCTGCTGCCCATGGTGGACGGGGGAGAATGTTTGTCCATGTTGGCGGCTCTGAGAAGATGGCAAGGCCTGCAATGCAGCGTTCTGACTCATATTGTATTGATGAGGAGAGAAAGCTCCAGATCCTCCACCTGATCCAGTGCCGGGCCCATAATCTATTGAATATTGTGACATGATGCCAGATGATAATACAGATCCTGCACCAGAATGTCTGTACTGGGGAGGTATGTGTCCATCAATATTCGGGTAACCAAATCCTGTTCCATAGACTAGGCCCCCTCTTCTGTTTTTGTCCTTCCCGCCCAATGAAAAATAATAATCCATTGTGTCCTTCCTGTAAGGGTTGTTACTGCCGCTGTGAAGGTTACCCTGTGTGGGCGGTGCCTCTACAATGGCTCTGTTTCGAGCATTGTAAGCGAGCATGTGGCTGGCTTGATTGGACTGGAGCTGGCCTCTGTGTAGGCTCTGCTGTTGCATTGCCGCATAATCTTCCGTCATCCTCGGGGAGACCTGAGGGTCTGCAGTTTGGGGGGGATACGGAGGTGCACCTCCACCCCTCATGCTAAAGCCAGGGGCCAGAGAATGGGGGGTGGGGCTATTGGAAAAATTCTGCATCTTTGTCCCTTTCAACTTAAAGAAAGACGACACCGATTAATGTCCGTGGGAAATGCCACCCATGTATAAATGAAGGGCTGATAACGGGAATCATGGATGCAGAAGACAGCAGAACTTTTTAAAAAATGAAATGCTTGCTTCAATTCACTGGAGCCCTGGGAATGTATAGCTGAATGCTATAAGTACCCAACAGATCAAAGTCATATCAAAGAGTAAAAATGTTCTCACTTCAATGTGGCATTGGTATATGGTTGATTCCACATACAAAGGCCGACATCGCGGTGGGTTTCAAACTTGTCGTCATTCCTCTGCGGTTTGGCATCAAGAATATGATATCCTGGATGACTAACACATCACTATGTAAGGCAACATTAAAAGTCTCACTTGCAGATGCTGTAGCAAAACATCTCCTGTAAACATCGCTCTTTCAGGAGCCCGATTATGGAAAGACACAACTGCAATGGCGCAAAAAATATTTGTTCCATTGAGACAGAATTTTGGCAAGATGTCTTTTTCTTCTGTTAAAATGTGTAATTTTGCCAGGACGTGGACCAAAAAGGTTTCGAAGGATTTGCGTCAAAAAGGTCTGAAAACAGACTTTGACAACACGCCTCCCAGAACTCCATTGATATTCTCATCCACTCTTGGATGCAGGGTGACACTTCAGCTCTTGCCTTTCTTGATCATTCTCATTTCATATCATGTTTGTTTTTTGTTTTGTTTGTCTCTTTCACTGCATGCATTCATCTGGGCGAGAACAGTCTTTGGTCCCTCTTATTTCATTAGTTCCGGGCATAGATTCCTCTTGACGCTCTCCTGGTACTTGAGCATTTAGCCGTCTTACCTTTGTTATTGTCTGTCAGCCATCATTTAATTCTACCCAACTCCAGAGCAACGTATTTCCCAAAAGGAAGGTAATCCATTTATTCCACTTCCAGTTCAATCCTTTCAAACTCCAGCTCTCGTTTTTCCCTCAGCAACTCCATGCAGATGAATTCATTTTCCAGCTGGCCAGACACGTAGAAACCTGTAGCAACAAAAGACAAATGTTTAAGTCAGCATGTAACACAAATCCATATCCGACATAGAGTTATTGCTGTGGTCATACGAAGTCATGCATGGAGACAAGACAGACTACGAACATTATACACTTGCGTAGCCTGCAGCAGGTGTCACCAACCACCATTTTAAGTGATGACGACAAATCGTCACTAATTCATGCTTCTACTGTGTATTGATATTTTCAGTGTGTATACATTTATTTTAAATTATAAACAGCATGACAACAATTTGGCTTAGGAGTGAAAAAAATACACATACAAGCACAACTGGAGCGTACACTATAACCCAAACATACAGCAACCAGCCGCACATTATTACCACTTGCACAATGATCATTGCAAGAGCTGCATCAAATGGTACGTCTTTACAAAAAGTAATAATCGTGAGTTTTGATTGACACTGTCAGAGAATTATTAATTAGCCAATTTGTTTAATATTGTGGCTGAAGTTTGCAGTGGTGAAGAACTCTGCACCTAATATTTTGACCCCATTTAGTCGATTGAGAGTCAAAAATATTAGGAAAAGCTCCCCAGATGATGAAACATTTTTAAATGAATACCCCTCTTTCAGTGTCAACCAAAACAGAAAATTAATATCTTTAAAAAAAGGCTGAATATTTGATGCAGCCATAGCAGTAGATATCGTTATATTGTGCAAGTGATCATAATGTGGCTGTTTAGTCCATGGTTGTATGGCGGGGCTTGGCACTGTAGGTATTTATTTGTCTACTCCCAGGGAATTGCTATTGTAATTGTAATTTATTTAAGCGTACACATTCTACAGGTGTATGCATTATAAATATAAGCTTAGATACAGGCTTTGTAAATATTTTATGAAAAAAAAAAACAAACAAATATAAATGTACTCAGCCTTTCAATACATTTATGAAAACCAAGTTGTCTTTATGGACTTCACACAGTTTTTACAGCTGTTGGAAAATAAAGAAGGCATGCCTAAGCGCTCCCTCTTGACTGATAAACAGGTTTGGTGGACACAAAAGTGGGGCAGTGAGAGCAAGTAACTCTGGAAATTAAGTAACATTCATAGTCACGTAATAAATACTACTACCATTGCAACTGCTGGAATGAAACAACTTGATGAAGCCAATCCTCATTATAGTGGCACTAAATGTAAACTTTATTGTGTGTACACTCCTTTTAATTACAAAGGCTCACAATTTGAGGGATTGCACCCTTTTTTTATGGGGTCAGGGCCCATAATTGCCTTGAGTGTCAAGCTTGCATTGTCTCTTTTTCTTAACCGACAGAATGGTTAATTGCCCTTCAACACATTTAGGCAATTGCGTTTTGTAAAGCACACCAGAAAGAATTTCATTGTAATTAAACTATTAATGTAACTGCCTGTGACTTTCTGAACAATAGATTGCACATGAGTGAACACAAATAATCCAGCGATGAGCAGTGACACCAAAGCAAACACAAGTGCATGTATCAGGCAGTTGTCAGGCATGCCACTGGAGTCTTGGAGGCTGATTTAGAGGGGGAAAAACCCCGTACAGTTGAAGGGATTCTATTGATCTCCACCCTTGAATCTTGATAACTAATTAATCACAGTGGCTCGCTAAGCACGACCAACTAAACAAAATAGCCTGTGTAATGTCAGCAAGACATGGCTATCGTGTCAGCAACAGCATACGCAATTATATTGTTGCACCACTTTTATACCAAACATGATGCTGGTGTTTCGGAGCTGCAATAGCCAACAGCAGGCTTTACGCATTCCAATTAGCTTAGTCGAGCTGCCTTTTTAGCTTTGTAAGGTTGGCGTTAGCTGATATCTACTGCCAATTGGGAGCTAGCAAAGCTACTAGCTGTGGTTAGCATTCTAGCAAGACAGCTAATTAAGGTTTATTACGCTCTTGCACGTTATTTGAGAGCGTTCACGCAACGATAGCCACGGCAGGCTAAAAGCTGCGTTTAGCTAGAAAAAAGGGGTGATGAGATGCAGATGTTTCGCCCCTCACAATTCAGCGGAGCTGTAAAAAAAACCTGGTTTAGCTCGTGTATAGGTAGAAAACGAGCAAGAGACGTGATGTGAGATAATTAGCATCACTCACCTCGGCGTTTTTTAGGAGCTAACGTGGGTCGGGGCACGTTAGCTAACACCTTCAACACATACATACCTGAAAACGTACCAATACGAGGCCCAGTTGAGAGTGAAAGGCTCCTTTTGACAATCCCGCTGTTGTGGCAGGAAATCCCAGTCTCAGTCTTGAGTCAAATGCTACGCCGCTTTTTCCCTCAGCCGTTTTGGGTCCAGGAAATCCCGACCACCGGCGACCAATTTCTGGGGAGGGTGGGGGGGTCGTCACGACAATCGGATCCCGGGCCTCTCTTGATTTGCCCCGTTTATTCCCCTTTTGTCCTCACCTCCAGAAATGAAGAGAGCGGGGCACAATCAGGGTGGCTGTGGGTCCCGTCAGTGATGAGGTCCACACACCCCCGCCCCCCACTCTCGCTCTTTTCACACACCGCTGAGGTGACTGCACCTATCTTCAACTAAAAATCAAACACAGAAGCCTCCGTGCGGTCTTACGAAGCCCCCCGACGCCACTTTCCGTCCCTTAAGTGCATTTACATACCTTCATCATATGCTCCTTTCCCACCGAGACTGTTTTTTTTTCTCGCACCAGAAAGACCGCCTTGACACACGCGCACACAAAACACACACATTTGCCTGCACTCCCCTCTCCACTCTTCCACATCACATCCCTCCACCTCTTTTGTTATTGCTCAGATTTTCACCTATTTCTACCATGAAAAATATATACATTGGACTAATATTGGTGTCTTGTTCTCATCTATGATGACGATGTTTTTCCCACACTGCAGCCCCTTTGTTCTTGTCCCAGCTTCAGTGAAAGTGAATTAGTTACCAGTGTACAATGGCAGACATAAAATAGATTTGCAGAGTATCTGTAAGACTGCAGAGTGGCCTTTTTTATGTTACTGGGCTTTATGGCTGCTGGAACATAGATATATTGTTCTGACAGCTGCATTGCACTTTTGTTTAAAATGGACCTTAACTTTTACTGCATTTTGATGTAAGAACGTGCAAATTAATCGATAAATTGATTGTAACTGTACTGGCATTCAATACATAATGCAAGAGAGTTTTTTTTCGTCCAATTGTCAGGCCTAATTTATTCATTAATTAAAAAAAAAAGAACATTTGTCAAATTCCTTTCCGGGGAGACATAGCAGCTCGGGGAGAACAGGAAAATTTGGGGATACACTATAAATGGTCATATTAATTTCCAAGTTGATTTTAACTTTACTGGAGTTCATTACATTCAGAATTATATTTTTTACCATTCATTTGAAAATAATATTTCACTAAATACAATTAATTATTTGTTAATTTTTTCAAAACAGTAAATTTAATCAAATGCCCTTCCATGGAGACTCAGCAGCTTGAGAAGAATTAACAAAATTGATACTGTGGTCTTGCATAGAGTGTAACGTAAGACTGCCGTGTATGTTTTTCCGTGCTATTATCATGATGGATCTATTGTACGGCCATCTGAATTGTATTTTAGTTTAAAATGGGCATAAATTATTTTTTTTTCTGTTTTTAACAGTAAAAGAATGCCCATATGAAAATATTCATTGATCACTTTTGGTAGTAGCATATATTTCGAGTCATATTTTTCTGTACATTTTAAAACAATCTGCTCATTTATCTTCACAAAATATAATTGACTATTGTTTTTGAGTTAAGTTAGGAAAATTGTATTTTTTTTATTTTTTAAGTTTCTCTGGGGAGTGGTGGGGGTTGGGGGGCTTGCTGCCTGACACTGTCAAAACTTGCTACATCCTCCATATGGACGCTCCAGATACATGCACCCACATACAAATACAACAATCAAACAGGCGATTAAAACAATTACCGGTAAGCTTCCGTGGGTCACTTAACCCATCAATCAAGGCTAAATTCTCTCTTCTTAACAACACTTCAATGCATTTCTTTCCCTTGCAGACACACGTCTATTTCTATCATAGTTGCCATAGCAACTGCAGCACAGCGCTTTAACTGTGGATAATTTTTTTTAGGCTACCGACATTTGCAGCTCACCTGCACATTTTCACAAGCATCCACCATTCAGGTAGAATTCTGCAACCAAACAAATTGCGTGCAACATGCGGTTGCGCACTTGTGCGAGCGAGCTGAAAGAGAAAAGCGCCGAGAGGCGACATGTGCCCGTGCATTGATAACGCCGAAACAGTAAGTCAGCCAGCCGGGCCTAGTCAATCAACAGAAATGCCTGCTGGGATACACACAGTCGCTCCATCACAGACAAGGTCAGAAAATCATCTATTGAGCAGCCACAAAGCACACGGTGGAGAATGCAACTCGTTTGGGGTGGTCGTAATTGTTGTAGAGGTGCACAAAGAGTCCCTGTGTCGTCAATTCAAATCTGGTATCCAATACACAAGATGTATCAAATATTGACTCAAACAGAGCGGTATTAGTTGAACAATATGCTCATTTCTACACTCATAGTTTGTACTTTGCAGTATGGGTTTACAACTGTGTGGCATCATCAGAGCGCTGTTATTACTCCAATTACGATGTAACTATGGAGTTTCAAAATACAGATACGTCACCCTTGTAAAGAATAATTGCTCTTTGGATGTGTGGTGCATGTTCGGTTCGCTGAGAGCTGTAAATGATCCATTTGTGTGATTGTAAGTAGAAATGGTTGGTGGGAATGGCGTTTTGGGAATTGAACCCACACTGTCCGCATGAAAGGCGGCAGCATGCACCACTACGTTGCAAATGCTTACTAGTGTGTTATGTGAAAATCATTTATATAAATTATATATTTGCTGTATATGTAAAAATAATGCAAGTTACAGTTATAAATTATAACGTTGCAATCAATGAACTGGATTAGCTTTAAAACTGTAATAGTTAGAGCTTATTCCGAGAAATGATACAAAAAAATACAATAAAGCATATAATAATTAGAAATTAAGGTGCCAATAAAATGGGATTCGTTTCGTTGCCGGACATTGGGAGGCAATTACCAGTGAATGGTTTTACTATCGGTAAACAACAGGGGGCGCTGTCACCCATTACCCTTCAGTGTCAGTGAGCAGCTTCTGTAGGGTTGTGCCGGGGGACTTTAGCGACCAGCAGGGGGAGGTATCGCCTAATATTTGCTCGCTTTTTCAACTCAATCGCACTAAAGCTGCCTCTCAGCCACACTCGCCGCGTATCCTAGCAACCAGAGAACCCTGCCTCCAATCACTACGGATACCGGCAGGGATGGAGGGAGGGCGGAGAGTGTGAAAGAGTCAAAGGAGGAGGCGGAGGAGGAGAAGAGGCTGGTGAGGTATCAGCATCCAATGCAGCAAACCTGAAAAGATGATTTTCCACTTCACCATTAAAACGGGGCTCTTGTGTGCCGAATTCTGCCATAGATTTCACAAGTGGCTCAGTCTCAGCCACTACTTTTGCGACGATTCAAAATATGAATCGCAGTTACGCAATGTGGCTGGATGGATATATAAACATACATACTATTTTTTTTTACAAATTATCGCCCCGTATAAAGTGTTGGGAAAGGTTTATTCCCAACGATGTCAGGTTAATGTGGTTGAACAAGTGCTGAATTGTCCTAGGACCGGTATGATATACCTGTACGGATACATGGACCTTAAACTGGATATCAATTCACTTTTCAAACAGATTTCCATAGTAGACCCAATAGGAGCATTGTGAGGATGTCATGCAAATTAGTGCAAGCCCCCGCACGCTCTCAGTTCAAGTGCACAGGCTTTCGCACAATTCTCGTGTGATGCGGCACTGACCTCAGACACGGGATGCCGTCCTCCTCCCTCCGCCTTATCCTTCTTCTCCTCCTCCTTCCATTCTTTGTCCCGATCCCCCACGGTGGCTGTCATGTGAGGATATGCAACAGTGATACACGAGTGACAGGGTTTTGTCGGGAACGCTGAGCCGCCATCAATGTCAGGTGGATTCACTCCAGGAGCCAACCGAGTGGAAGCTGACACAGCAGCTCATGAGACTTTCAATATGATATGTCCATTGAAAGCAATTGTATTGAATCTTACATAACACCTTTGAAGGCCTCTGAGATTTGTGCATACCATATTGGTATGCAATATAATTGCAATATAATTACATATACCACATGTAGCTCACTAAAACAAATCCGGTATATTTAAGTTGTTCTCTGTTTGTTATAAAATTTATTGAATAACATTGGTTTTAAAAAAAATGCAATTTTTTGGGGTATGTGGAAAATGTGGGAATATTGAAAATTGTTTCCGAGGTGAATTGAATAATCCGGACATTTTAAATTTCTAATGGGAATGAAGTTAAATCTGTTATATTGAATATTGAATGTGTCATTGGGAATGGGGACTTTTTTTCGGGGGGGGGGCTGTGGACTTGTGGAAAAAAGTGAATTGTTGGAATGATGAAATTAATAGCTCGCATGACATGAATTTTTAAAATACGTCAAGGTTGGAATGGAGAAAATTGGGTTGAGAAATTTGAAAGATGTAGCACATCAAATAAGCGATGACAATAAAACAATATATATATGTATGTATTAACGTATTTTTGAAAAGCTTTCAGCATTCACACAATAAATGATTCACACACCCACAAATCTGGCCCCTTCTCCTTCGAATTAACAAATGAATTGTAATCGTGAAAGTAATGCGGTGAAAAACGCTTGCTACTGTTGCCAGGGCAACCATCTTCCTCGACTCTGGTCTTTAACCCTTTCTCCTCAACACGTCCCTTTCACATTCTGTCTTTTATCACCGCTACATTCTCACACTTTGCTGATGTCCTCTCACTCCATCTGTCCATTTCTTTACGGCCGGCCGCGCATCCCTCTGCTCTGTCGCTGTAAAACAAAGTTGTGATCTGTGAGCTGTTTGGTCTTAATCTTTGATTATTCGCCCTCATGTCCGTCCTCACACCTGCCATTTTGTCCACGCGCGTGTGCTTTGTTCACGCTGACTCATTCCGTGTTAAAGAACTGTGACTGTCCGGTGTTAACTATCAGGAAGTCATTGTTTCACTGTGGGTGTTAATTGAGGATGAGAAGGAATGGCGGCATGGCTGTTGGGTTGCAGTAAACAAATGATGTTCAAGAAAAACAGTGCTTCCCAAGCGTGAGTTCCGTTTCGCCAAGTGCAAAAGAGCAAAGTTCTCCTATGGAACATATTTTAGGGTTTATTTGAACTTAGACATTACTCTTGTCGGCGTAATTACGTATGGAGGTTTTCAAGGGGCACGTAAAAGGTTCAGAATCGAATGCCTGAAAAAATTGGGACACACATTCACTTTTGACCTCACAGAGTCAACTTGGAGAGTGACAACATTTTCAAAATGAGGACAGGAACTCGAGAGCAGAGCACATGTTTGAGCGCTCGGCATGCAAGCGGAAACAGAGCGAAGGACGATTATTCCTGCACGCACGCCGAGTGGCTCTTTCCGAGCGACTCCAACGCGAAAAACGTTCAGCCTGATTTGCTTCGTGATTCGGGTTTTTGTCTTGAGGTGGATTCCAAATGGCACGAGGTCAAAGCGGCATCACGAAAACAGCTAATTACTCACCCTTTGCGTCTTCGCTAAGCTCCAAACATGACTAATGAACATCTGGTGTTTTTACAGGCACAAAGGCACGACGCGAAATGCAGTCAGGTTATTCCTGCAAAAAGGACTTCAACAGCCCGTCACTTTCGATTATGCGAAAATGGTTGACACCTGTTCTTGATGGCTCGTCCTGCTTTTTATTCAAACATTTGCATAGCAGACCAGCTGTCTACAGGCGCAATACAGTACATCCTCCTGATTTTCCAACCTGTCAACCTAAGTTTAGATTCTAATTATGTTTTGGGTTTTTTTTTTCCCCGCATCCTCCTTCCAAAAGACATCCTCAGTCTTGTTTTGATAAGTTAGAGGTGGGGGGGAATGGGGGTGTGGGACTAGCCTAGTTGAGTGTTGTACAAAGGGGAGGCGAGAGCAGCATGAGAGCACCCTGAGGGGCCTGGATGGCACCACACAAAGCTTTGCGGAGTGCCAGCAGCAGTGTCGATGGTGGAGGGCATATACCCGGACCCACCCGCTCCACCATATGGCCTCCATTTCTGCAGCACGCCGCTCGCTGCTCACCTGCTAGTGTAATGATACTAATAATAATCTTAATCATGGCAATTAACTCAATTCAAATCACTTCACATTCAGCAAGACTTTTTGCAAATGGTGAACATTTTACACCCCCCCCCCTCAAAAAAAAGCCTTCAAGATGTTTAACGCCACTCCCAGTTGGAAGTGCACTCTTGAAAACATAAACCAGAGAATTTCAAGTTGCGTATTTAAAACCGCTTAACTCTGGTATGCTAAGAATGGCCACCACTTAACATGAACAGGGCAAATCTCAGTGACATGCTAACATTTTGAAGTTGAATGTTTTTTGTTTTTTTTTAAGACAACCCTTTAAGCAACTGATTTTTTTAAACATAAATGGTGGAACAACACATTTAGACAGACAATAGAAAAATATTCGCGGGCATACATTCTTTATCCTCTATGAAAAATGACTAATATGAGAGCAACTTACGGAGTAGCAGTCAAAGTCTATTCTTTGATTTTGTCTGCATGATTGTATCGGTCAGTACTGCCTCCCAGTGGCCAAGGTAGGCACACCAGAAGGGGCAGCACTCTGAAATGGACTGCAGCATCAAATCATGATGCGCCAACTGTTTAATACTTTATATTCTAATTGTTATGAGTCTATATTTTTATAAAATTATAAGGTTATAGAGTGCAATTTTTCCTTTTAAAAAATGGGGAAGGGAGTGTGGTTGAAATGGATGAATGGCAATTCCATTCCATGGGGAAAGATGATTTGAGATATGAGCGTGGGCACAGAACGAATTAAGACACCACTGTAAAATATAATCATAAAGTATAATAATAATCATGACAAAGGAAACACAAAAAAACGCTGAAAAAGACTCAGCAGCAGTTGCATGAAACTTGTAGCATTTTATTATTAATACTCAACACATTTTGTTCATGTACAAAGAGAAAGAAGAGTCTTATTTAAGCACTTATAACTGTAGGTATTTATCCTTATTAGAAGTACCATCGCGATGCATTTTTGCCGTTTCTGTCATGACATGGTTAATTTTTGTTATTGAGATTACTTTGACTTCATACAAAAAAAAGTTAATGTCTTCTCTAATAGTATTTACACAACCTGTACAATAATTTTTTTTTGTGTGTGTGGGTGTAATTTTTGTTCTCATGATATAAACATGTCGGTATTATTTCAAAGAAAAGGGCCATGAAAAGACAAAAGAGTGGCCAAGAGCAAAATATGGGTATAGAATTCGGTCTAGCATTGAGAGTACTCGTATTTTACATTGTGTTGAGCCACAGTAAATTGAATCAGGTTGTGTATCTTGAGGCTGGAAACGAGTGCCTTTGTCGACTCACTCCTCACGTGAAATACATTTAGTCGCAACCCCCTTCTGTCACTTTATCAATTAAAAGGACGGACAAACAGAAGAATCGTGTTATCATTTAATAGAAATGATATGCATTTGTATAAATCAGAAGCGCTATACATACGCAAGCACACACAAAAACGTCGAATGTTAGCAAAGATATTCCGCGACGAACTTGGGAGAATTATTACATCATTAGTCTTATGTCAAACTTCCCAGGAAATGTGTCAAGTAGTATCACAGTATAAGTCTTCCTGACTGCAAGTGATGAAATTAAGTGCTAAAAACCAAGGTGCTTTTACAAATACTGCTGACAAACATCAGGAACAACAACCCCCCCGCCCCCACCCCTAAAAAAAAAAAACAAAACAATTTTTACTGACGCCTGTCATCCGCTTGTCATGGATGTCAGCTGGGGTGATATTTACATCCTCCAGCTCCAGGATGTTCCAGTAACTCAAAGCTAGCTCAACTTTGTGTTGTTTAAAAAAAAAAAAAAAAGAAAAAAAAAAGAAATTGTGACACAGTGTTTTTCTCAACATGAACCATCGAAACAAATGTGTTGTGGCATGCTTGTGTGCAGAGAAGCCAGGCCGGGACCAATTTGGGCTGTAGGGAAACAAAGACTTGTGACGAGGAGGCTTACTCACTGTCCAACTGGCACTCGCTGCGTGCGTGCATGCATATGTGTGTGTGTGTATACCTTGACTTCCCAAAACAAGAGCCATTGACAACTGCTCACGAGCCTTTCATGGCAACGACACTAAGGCGACTTTGTTTGGTCACAGGCCTATTGTAAAGAAGGAGGACAGATGCATCGCTCAGTGGAAAAATCTCAGAACACCACCAAGTTTGTTGTTGGAATGTCGCACATTTGGAATTATATGAAACATCTCAGGCAAAAAGTGAGCAACTCTCACAATAAGCTAGACTCTTGCGTGTGCCTGCGGGGAGTCAAACAAACTGGAGGTGGACAAGCTTGACGGAATGTTTGAAAAAAAAAAACAAAAAAAGTTCACTGTAGTTTATGTACAGAAATGCAAAACCAATTTCCTCAAAACTGGCGTGTAGAAAAGGGAAAAGTTGGTCAAACCTGACCTGTCAAGACCGAATTAAGTATCATTATTTGAGTGACACCCCAAGAATCATGACACCGCCCATCCGTTTGTCATCCGTGACAAGTTCAGCCTTGGTGGCGGTCTGTGAGTCACATTCTAGTTGCGCTATGTGAAATCATTACAGAATTATGGAAACAACAAATCTAATGGTGGCCTAAGAATTGTTTTGGAATGTGTGTGTGTGTGTTTTAAATTGATTCATCCAGCAGTTGGAGTAGAAAGCAACTGAAGAGGAACCAAAATCGATACTTAGGATTACAAATAAAGGGGGACTAATCAGTGCCAAAAAGCATGTGCAAAGCAACTTCGAGAGTACAATCATCTTCTCAGACACACACAAAAGAAACGGCAACCCAAAGCGTCAGTCTACTAACCTGACCTATCATAATAACAACAATAAAACGGTCGACTTCCCTGCAGCAAAGGTGGACTGCAAGTTGAAAAATGAGCAAAGGCTTCACTTTTGATAAGGGGTTGCACCGATGCATTTCGGTTTCAAATGAATTCTCCCCAAGACCTTTCCCGCATTATTGTGCTGAAATTCTCAGCAATGGCAACACCGGAAAGTGTCCAGTGTGCACTTGTGTGTTCAATACACACACAGGCACGCACGCACACATTTATGTACATACATCTTTCTTTACCACAGTGATGTCAATCCCAATGATAAAGAGGGAACAGGATAGGCCGGGCCCACGATGGCTCTAAATTCTGTGTGCAATCACCATTAAAAGCCAGTTTTGGAAAAAAAAAGCCCAAAACAAAACACCATGATGTCGTAAGATTTGAACAAGGATCGCCGCCTAAAATGAAAGCTCACAATATGCTGCTTCTATCTGCAAATATCATACATGTCATATTGTATTACATCAACGCGCCGACGCTCGAACTGAGCTTGAAAAAGTCGAGCTCGCCTTAAAAAGAGAGAGAGAATCTAACACAGTTCCGAGGGGAACGTAACAAAGACCTAAAACTAAATTGTCCCCCTTTTATATCACCAGACATCTACACCTACGGTAAATGATCAATTTCTCAAACACTTGAGTGAATGTAAGAAAAAAGTCTAAACCTTAACATAATCTATATATTGATTGGTAAACTGTCGTACAATGAGCGGGAAATCAATTGTCACTTCGGAGGAGTTATATTGGCGTCTTCACTCGACTCTTCACATTTTTGTCCATCTATGTTTTTTTTTTTTTTTCTTGTATTGGTTTATTTTCGTAAATTGCTGCAAAACTCGATGAAAGTTACATCCTGTCTGTCTGTTTACTGTACAAAGTGAAAAGAGGTTCGGAATATGCTATTTACAAGTAAAAGCGTCGCAGACTAAATGCCGACTCGGATGCTTTGACCAAAGTGTTTCTTACATCCGCGTCGTTTCCAATATTTCTACTTGCTTCTCCGAGAATGGCTGATCTGAAAATGTGCAAGTATAAAAATTCCAGAGATGTCGGTCTATTTTTTTTTTTCGGAGTCACGGTTGTGATGATAGGTGAATTGATTTAAGGCTATCAATCTCACGATTACATTGTTATCTGTGAATTTATCAAGAGTCATCAGCAAGTCTGTGGACAAAAAAAAATGCTGTTATCATTAAATTGCGACTTGCATCATCACTCGCACAACACACACAGACACTCACACACACACACACACACACCTGTAACAGCGGTGCATTTAGATGAGGTTATAAGATAGATGTCAGCGCTCTGCACACTCCAGCAGCTCCAATCTTGGCTGAGCACTCCTGCGCAATCTCTTGCAGCCCTTGAACTTCCGACACCGCCAGCTAATTGAAGATCAAACCTTTAAATAGCTAATAGAGGCTTTTTTATTCTGTACAGTTAGATGATGAGTCATTAACAGACAGCTCCTGTGAAAGAGGGCGGGAAGGGGGAGGTGTGGGGCGGGGGGGGGGGGCGTGATGGGATGATAAGGCATGTCTACCGAGTGCCTGAACCTACACCGGGTAAAGGTCCTGTGCAATAATGAGGCTTGGCCAGCTTTAGGAAATAGAAACAAAAACGCAAACTATCTACATCAGTCAAAGCTGGTATCTCAGCGGCCTTTCTCGAACGGACGTCCTCCTCTGCTCAACGGATTATGACGAACCGTGGTCACAGGGCCACATTCGCCACCTCTTTGTGCACGACGTGCAAAGTTCAACTGGGCTCCCGGACCACGACGGATGTTGTCATAGGCGACACTAGTGAGAGGCCAAAAAGGGGCGGTGACTATTATCATGCAACCTGAATCGAAAAGAAGCTAAGTAGAAGGCCGCCGCGCTGTGAAGTGGGCCACTCCGAGACAGTGTGGGACATCCTGAATAGAACTGGCGTACAGGTTCATAAAAGCCTTTTTTTACGAAGTTATAAAACTCTGCAGCATCTTGTATCTAAACCACTGCCAGGCGGCATCTCTCGCCGCTTGTAAAATTTTTACTGCAGTTTTGGCGCACGGACGTGAAGAGACGACCAAGTATCGGCGCCGCCGCGTGACCGCGCGAACAGGAGGACACTTCCATCGGAGACCATTAAGGCACGTCCTTTTCTCTCGACATCGGCGGCTCTCGGGCGCTGACGTAACACGCAGTCTATCCGCACTTGATTTTGAAATATCTCCAAACGGTAAACAAAGTATGAGTCTTTGAGATCCTTTTTTTTCCATCAGGGGAAAATAGATGGACTGCATACTCACGTGAAGCAAAACATCCTACAGGCAACTCAAGAGTTCAGTCCGGCTTGGAGGTTGAACGACCAGCCAAGTACCAAAACAGGGATGGAATGTGACACTAATTGAGCATAAAGCATTTAAAAAAACAATATTATAAGCGGCGTTAACACAATCATTGTTGTTATTCACAATGGGATTAATATTATTGTTGATCTTATACCCTGTTGTTTTTTTTTTTTTTTCTTTCTCGAAGGAAATCTTGTCATCCGTGATTGTATTTCTTCCAACGAACAAATGTTTTGGTGACAACAGAAGATTGAGACAAGTTCAGGATGGCGAGATGAGACGATCCCTCCGGAGAGGGCGGGAGGGACAAGTCATCCGTGTTGCCACTCTGGCAAGGCGACAAGGTCTTCCTTCGGGGGAGCCGACTCGAGCCCAGATGGGCCGCTCGGTGGGCGCTCCGGTCTCGCAAGTTTTCCCTCGTCAGCTCTCGGCGCGAGCTCTCGAGCTGCCGTCAAATCTCAGCGGGCTCACGCGCCCGATATCAAATTAAGATGAGCGATATTGGCCCAGTGCGGCGACTGCGCCTTCACTGCTGGATGAAACGCGAGGCTTGAGTTGAGTGCATTTTCCCAGTTAATTGACCGTGACTGGACATATAAGTAGAGTAGCTTTGGCCATTTGCGAGAGAGGGGTCACATCCCCCGCCTCAGCTTGGTGTCCTGATTTTTTTTTTTGTGTTTACCAAGATTAGCTTGCAAAATATAGATTTTTCTATAATCAAGTTTTCATCCTGCTTCTGACACCACATTTGGCTCTCGCCCAGCTGACCCTAAATTCCAGTCTCCGTATGGGATAGAGATGCAGTGCGTGGACTGTGTCTTTAAAAACATCCCTGATCTCCTAACACGACACACCTCTATCCCGTTCCTAATCCCAAATCCAGGCTGGGTTTCTCACACATCTGACTCAATGCTGGAGAGTTTCTCGTAGACATGGCCGTTGCTTCCGTTGAAGGGTCGCGGTGGGCCGACCCCAAGCATGGAGCCGTGGTGGTTCAGCCCACCCAGGCTGAGCTCTTTCGGGAACCGGGGGGACACATTTGACATGACGCCAGTCGTGGCAGATGTCGGCAGATAGGACGTCGTGCTCAACTGGCTCCTGAAGTCACTTCGACTGTTTTTGGCAACCTGTTGCTGCTGCTGCTGCTGCTGCTGTTGCTTTTTCATGTAATACTGTTTGGCTCCATGCATGAGACACTGATCATCATCAAATGTTGGGATAAAGGGGTTTTGGTTTACCCGGTCAGGATAAAGAGATTTCGATAAAGAGAACGCGGCCCCGCCTCCACCTTCCATCAGAGACCTATCCCTGTCTCTCATGTCTCTCTCTCCTACGGAGCGACGATGGAGGCCCTCGCCTCCTCGAAACAAGCCCCCGAACCGTCCATCGCCTCCATAAAACGAAGGGTCCCTGTCCCTTTCCCTTTCCCTCTCGGAGCCCCCGTGACGCTCAAATATGTGCGCAAAGGGGCTGGTGCCCTCCATGTAGCGCTCCTTCTCCTTCAAGCTAACGCTTCTGGGAGGCGGTAGCATCCCTCCCATACCTGGACCGCTCATCCCCCCAACGCCTCCCATGCCCCCCATCATGCTGCCCATGCCGCCCGAGTCATCCTTCTGAAGGTCGACAAACGCGTCATAGGAATGCTGCCGCCTGAGTGGCTTGCCAAATCCTCCACCCTTCCTCCTCTGCTGGACTTGAGATTGCGGCTGGGGGATTGCACCGATGCCTCCTCCCCCTCCACCGATCTGTTCCAAGAGGTGGTTGTTGTCCTCGCTGATGTCATAGAGGTTTCCCGTCTTTTTACAGCCCTCACAGCGCATACAGGTTGCAGAGCTCGGGCGGCTGCTGCCTCCGCCCCCCGAGGACCCGCAGCTCATCCCGCCGCCATACCCGCCACCGATAACTCCTCCGTGCATGGACATCGGCTTCATTCCTGCTCCGGAACGGCAGTTCCTGCACTCCCATTCTCCCCCTGCCAATCCGGATCCTCCGCCACTTTTGGATTCAGACTTTTTAGGTTTGCCCTTGAGGAAGTCCTCCACCGGAACCAGAGAAGTGCAAGTTGGTACTCCACCGTCTCTATTTCCGGTGCCCTCAGTCAGATCTACATGTTCCCACTGAGGGACGCCCTCTTTTGGGCGGAACTGGTCCAAATAAAAGTCCCTCACGCTCTCCTTCTCTCTGAACAGATAGTTGCTGTCATTATTTCCTCCTCCTCCTCGCTTCCGTTCGGATGGCAAAAGTGGTGGCGAGGCAGAACGATGGTTGTGGTAGTGGTGGTGGCTGATGTGGTAGGGTTTTCTTCTGTAGCCTAGCTCAATCTCATCCAGCTCGCGTCTGGACTTGGCTGAGGCCGGCCTCTTTTTCAGGCTATCGCGGTATTGTTTTCGCTTCTTGGCATTACCTTCGAGGTTGCCGTAGGTCACCGTGTGCGTGGAAATATCAGAGACATCGGATCGGATATTCCCATCGTCATCCGCTCTCCCTCCGCAGTAACTGGGCCCAGGGATGTAAGTGGAACTCGAGGCGCCTCCCTTGAAAGAAAACTTTCCGTACACGTCAGGCGGGCCACTCTTAAAGCCCGGCCCCGAGGGGGGAGTCTGTCCAGACAGAAGGTCAAACTTGCTCATGTTTCTGTGGGTGAGCGCCGAGCAGGGCTGGGTGGTGAAAATCGGCGGCACTCCCCCTCCGAGGCTGTCGCAGTCAAACATGCCGCCCTCCAGGGAACTGGCACTGCCCAAACTATGCGGCCTGTTGGGCGCTGGTCCACTGAGCCCAAGTGTGGAACCATGATGGTGCAGGTAGTGGTCCTGGTACAGATTACTGTCCTTCATGTGGACGTTGCCAAACGTCCTCTCCACCTCACTGATGTAGTCACTGAACATGTTATCTTCCGGTAAGTAAGGCGGCTTGCAGTCCGAGTGGCCCGCCAGGCTGCGTCTGTGTTCCGAGATGTCGTAAACGGAAGATTCCCGTCGAATGAAATCCAGCGCGCTGTGCGGTGAGCCGTTCACCCCGGAGGCCATGTTTTTGGCCGTGCGTAACAGGCGCAAGATGTTGGAATGAGTGTTGTTCATGGTCGCTGATGGGGAGTTCAATGCTGAGCTGCTTTTCTCTTCAATCTGTACGCCGTGAATGCAGCTGTAGATGCCCTGTGTGGTAAAATGCAGGGAGAAGCGGCATTAAAACGTGAATATTTCATACGTTTCGGTCAAAAACGGTGGATTCTTCGGTCGGGTCCACATGGACGCAATTGATGTCACTTACAGTATATACCGCATATTGAAAACGTATTTCCCACAAAATCTGTGCATAGCAAAAACAAATATTTTTGTGTTTGTTTACATACGGTCAAAAACGGTGGATTCTTCGGTCGGGTCCACACAGACGCAATTGATGTCACTTATATAGCGCATATTGAAAACGTATTTCCCGCAAAATCTGTGCATAGCAAAAACAAAACAAATGTTAGTTTTGTGTTTGTTTACATGCAGATAGCGTTTCAGGTCTTTCTTGCCATTCATGATGGTGTGAGATCATTCTGTGCTTTGACACCTAACACCTGTGATTTCCAGCGCATTCATCAATATATCATCAACAATACATTTATTCCTGCATCGTAAATATGAATAATTTGGGTCATGTAACATTTTCAAAGTAAAACTTCAAAAACTAATACCAACGCTGGAGCTTGTACCTGCTTCACACTTCAGGTTAGAAAATAACCACTCAGCTTGGCTCATAACTTAAATAAAATTTGACGCTAATGTCAGTGCCGTGCTAACAGCAAGGCGCCGTGCGACAGAACTGGCCCAATTAGAGAGAGAGAGAGAGCTCTTATGCACACAAATAGGCAGCATGAGCACAGGGTTGCGAGTTAATACTGTCCCAATCAAATCTTGGTATGAAGCAGCTGGTCTTTGACAAAATGTACCACTTTGCTCGTGGACCTTTATTACAGGAGCTGATTGTTTGAGCAGGCTCGGCAAACAGAAAGAGTGGCCTTCTTTTTCCTCTCGGGGATCGCAGGAAAATCTATAAGTGATTAAGCGGGTAAGGAGAGGCAGGAAATCAACAAATAACGAGCTGCTTCCGGTGTACAAGTGCATACAAAGCGCCGACGAGCAGCAGATCATAATTTGGTAGTGCCCGTGCGATACTTGATGCAAATGAAGGTGACAACGACATGGGGTGGGGGGGGGGAGTAATTCACAACCCCGATATATGTATTGTTCTCAATTCATTCGGGGCCTCTTAATCAATATTTTTAATTAATTTGCAGCAGTGGTTCGGGTAGCGGCTAGAGGAACAGGTAGCCTGCGCAACAACAAAGCTATCGAGTGTGTCCAAACGAAGGAACACTAACCAACCAAGGGTGACAAATGACTCATTTTTCCACACCCAAACGCAATTGTTAATGGCAGCAATAACAATAACAATTAGCCGATTAAGCTGTGAAATTAGAAAAGCAGAAGCGAGGAAGAAACGGAAAGCGAGAACAACGCTTGCGCAAAGATAATCAACTCATTTCCGGTCTTTCCGTCAGCTGTTTTCTGTTTTACTAGGATTCTGCTATGCGTATGCAAATAAACTGCTCAATGACTGATGCCCACCCCTCTCTCCCCCCTGAATATTTTTACATACTAAATGATCTGGCTGCGTGCGTGTGTGTGTGTGTGTGTGTGGACATGCGACTTTCATTTATGTTGCCTCACTGCAGCAAGATGGAGGTAATTTGCGTCAAACGAGAGCAATCAGCGAATATTACTCCCAACATAATGGCTCTCGGATTATGTCGACGCCCATAGAAATGATAATGGTGCAATCGTAAAAAGAACAGCTCTGAACAGCCTGCTTCGGGAAATGCAGTGTCACCTGACTTGTTGGCAGATGTCATTTTATGTTCCGTCTACTAAAAACTAACGTCAGGATGGACATGATTTTTTTTTTTCGTTTTAGATCATGCTAATAAAGTTGATGCTAACTAACAACGTAAACCTGCCCAACCCATCCGCTACAAAAATAGTGTGATCAAATTTTTCCTTAAAAAGTAGCACAGTTACCTGGGAAATATTAATTTAACAAGAAAGTGATAAACCTTTGATTTTACTGTACGTTGGCCCCTACTTCCCATAAAAACAAAAAAATTATCATAATTATAAATAGTTTTTAAGAAACAAGATCACTTAGTCAATTCTTTGCTTTTTGTTGCAAGTCAAAATTCAATTCAGGGGCGAGCTTCAGACACGCCGCCTCTCGAATGAAGTGAAGGAAAATTGAAGCGAGACAGTTTGGTGAATGTAACAAACAGCCAAAAACGCACAATGAAAATGAAACTACATGCGCAAGGCACACATCCACACATCAATACGACATTGTTTGTGTGACTTGGTAGCTGACTGACTCTTTCTAAAGGCGGTTTATTAGCTAACCCCTGTTTGTTTATTCACTGGATGTTTGTTATTGTGGTGTAGGCTGGGAGGGTGAGAGGTGTTTCTCATCAACATAATAGCAGGGCTCATGCGGTGCACATTGGAATGGCAACAGCAAAATACGTTTGACATTGGTAGACTTGGCGAAATCTTTCATCGGCGTAACCCGGTTCTGCTTCGCATCCCACAAATGCACGTTCCTCACAAACGCGGCGCCATTTTAAAGGGAAATAAATAGGCAGTGGCAAGGGCAAAAGATCTATTGCCGAGAGATATGATTACGAAACAGAAATAATCTACCCGACGTAAGTTGCCATACTTTTGTGCGGTTCATTTTGACCTACTCCCGCGGTTTAAAAACATAAATAAGGAAATATGAGAAAGCGGGATTGTTTTTCTGCGGCCCAGGGTGCCATTGCAGCATATCAACTGGAAGGAGGCGAGCCGCCGCTCGTGGCCCTGCGCCGTAAATTAGCCTCGTGCGTTTTAGCCCGCGGCACTTCACCTTCAGAGGCGGGCAGTGAATTACACCGGAGCCGTGTCAAAACAATTGGAATGCAAATCAAACACCTCGGGTGACTTTGCTCTCCCGCAATCTAGTAATTCACCCTTGACAGTTCGAAGGCTTTTGAGTGATTTATTGATTTTGTCGCATTAGTTTGTAAATATTACATTTAAGGACACCAAAGTGGTCTTATTCTCCAGACAAAAACAACAAATATTTGGACATAAGATGAAACACTAGGGATCAGCCATCTATAAATTTAGAGGACCCGAAGTAGTGCCCTGTGATGAACTGGCGACCGGTCTAGGGTGTGGTTGGCCTCTCGCCCCAAATCAACTTGGATAGATTCCAGTTTACCTGTATCCTTACAGAAGGTGCTTGAGAATTACCATACAGTATGTATTCAATAAAAACAAACCCATCCATCATTCTGAAAAAGTTTGGGGAACAATTTTCAACAACAAGGTAACAAAGTAAGAGCCTGATTTGAATAAATGCGGAGTGATGGATGGGTGGACGAAAAAGCAAAGTAGTGATGCCAGTGACCCATCAGAGTCACTTTGAAGCATGAAAAACCGAGGCTTTTAAATTAAATGGAGAGGGACGATGACTCCGATGTATACACGAGATTTCTGCAGTGGGTTACAGTTCCTAATACTCGAAATGAAAAGTAAGAATCTCACCCTGCTGATGGAAAAGACAAAGCCAGGGCGGCCCGAGCAGACGCCCATGAAGCAAAAACGCAGCTGCCAGTAGAACCAGTGTTCGCAGATGAATGTGATGAGCGAGAGTGCCATGGCAGCCCCCAGCATGTAGAAGACCCCCGCCATGTTGTCCACGTCCAGCTGGCTGGACATCACCTCATTCTTCTCGTGGTGGCAGATTCCTGTCAGCCACAAGGACTCCAGCTCCTCCATCTCACCTGGATGTGAAACAATGGAGAAGACAGGGAAGAGGAAAATGGAGGGTCAGGTTTAATGATACGCAGCAACAAGGAGGAAAGCGGGGGAGGGGGGGGATATCAAGATCAAACAGTCACTTTGGGCCAGGGTGATGACAAGTGGAGAATAGTTTTATAATTCATGAGGGACTGTGTGTGTGTGTGTGTGTGTGTGTGTGTGTGTGTGTGTGTGTGTGTGTGTGTGTGTGTGTGTGTGTGTGTTTTAAGTGGCAAGCAGAAGGGATATGATGCAATAACATGATGCCTGTTAGAGGACACCAGGGGAAGGAGGGAATGATGCAACAGAAGAGGAGAGGAGAGAAGATGGTTGCAATTTTTGTTGGGTCTGAACTCACTGATATTCCCATGCTTTCTGGAGGAGATAGGTTTTTGAAACTATAGATGTACATTTTTGTTTTTATTTAAGAGCTTCAGAATGGGCAGGGATAGGTCACGGTAGGCCAATTTAAAGCTGCAAGACAAAATATGAAGGTTTACCGGTTTACCCGTCTTGGCAAAGTGGCGATACCGCAAATGTGTAGAAACAGCAATGGATCAACAGCAATCGATCTTGTCTAAATATCAATTCATCACAAAATAAAGTTAGCAGAAACAAATAGGTTCTAAAAGGCAATTCGGTTTTGTAAACGAGAACATGTTCATGATATGACCGACATTATTTTTGGAAAACCAATTCTTACTTTAGCCTGCGTCAAACGGTATAACCTTCCAGACATGATTTTGGACGACCGGGTTCTCCACGTGAGTCTGATATTTTTCTAGGCCAACAGGAGCGGAAGCAAGTGGGGTGAGGTGGGCCAATGTCACATTGAAATCCAGAGCAGTGGGAAGACATGGCTGATTGGTTCTTGACTCGATTTTGAAAGACAATGTTCAAAGACATAAAAAAGAAGCTTGTATGGGGGAACCCCCCCCCCCGCCCAAAAACAAAACGAAAAAAATAATTGCCTGACATTTGAAATGTGATTTTTCGAAACCTAAAAAATGTCAGTCAGTCTGTCTGTCGCTCATCTTTTTAGGGTGATAAAAATAAAAACAACTCCCATCATAGCTTCTCATGAGGCACTCATGTTGAAAGCGATGACCCATATTCACACACACACACACACACACACACACACACACACACACACACACACACACACACACACACACACACACACACACACACACACAAACCTGGAAACCCTCGCGCACGCAGGGTCGAAATACACCAGGAGCTATGCTGGCAACACTAACTGGGACGCACGAAAGCCGGCCCCGCAGGGTCTATGTTTCAGGAACTAGCATGAACATGATGGATAGTTTTCGGGAATTTAGAAGAATACATCACGCCATTACAAAAGCATATCTTGTTTCACGACATTTTTAACGAGACTCGTTTTGAACGCCGAGTTACGGTATACCCACTCTGCATATCTTTCTGCTAGCTACACGCAGCCTGTATGACTGGCATGTGATGTGGGCTCCCTGTTTGATTTCCAGCAGTTGTAGGAAGTCAGAGTCTGACTTGCCAGGTTTTTGAAATCTCTTAGGGGGGGAAAAAAAAAATCTGTGAAAGGACACATGACGTAGTGTGGATTTTTTTCAAATTCTCTCCATGTCAGTCTTTATGCAAGATTATTTTCTAAAATGATTTCATCCAAAGTCTCTCATACAAAGTCACTGATGCCACTGGTGACATCTTGTGGCATTTTAGGATGTTTTGGAAAGAGGATTAAAATTTTTAAAAAAGCCAATAGTGGAGTTTTTCAATGAATAGATTGACAAATCATGACTTTGTGAAGAGTGAACCCCAAACATGCAGAGAATTAACGCACCGCATACCCAAATGAGCAACCTCAGTTTGGGTATCATAATTACTACCAAAAAGAAGTCAGAGGGAGAAAAATAAAAATCCAAACAATACTGCGGCCTGGGCTTTGTGCACACGCCAAAACAATGTAGCAGTGGCGGACAGACGACTATAAATAAATCCAACGCAACCCCAGAGTTGTACTGAGGGGATGCAATAAATCCAAAGCAGACGTTTGATGTGTGATGCCACCGCTCTGATCGCGAGGAGCTCACGCTATCTCACTTTTGAAACATTTAGAGAGTATCGGCTTGCAGTCATTCCGAGGTGTTGGGAAGTTTAATTTCCCTCAAGGGCTGTCGGAATCCTTCCTGACGGGGAAACCGGCCCGCCATGATCGTCTCATTTGAAACTCGGATGCGAGCGGATCTTTCAATAAATCATTCCAAGAACAGAGCTTCCTTGCGAACAAGCTGCTGCCTTCACTTATGGAGTCAGGGCGATTGTCCTTGGTCTGCCGGGCGAATTGAGCTGTAGACAGAAAGCGGACGAGTGCTGCGCCTCACCGTCCCCAAAGAGCTGCAGGATGGCCAGGTCCACGTGTCTCTTCCAGAGCGACTCCTTTTGGATGGCGATGCCGTAGCCGGTGGTGGCGAAGATGTAGCCGCTGCCGATGGTCACCAGCTTGCAGCCCTCGTCCCTGCCAGCCATGTAATTCAGCACGGCCGCGTCATAAATGAAAGCGTCTAGTTTGCTAATGAAAAAGAAGGAGCGGGGAAAGGGACGGGTCACACTTAATTTCGCGCTTGGGAGCGAGACATCGCAGCGACAACGTTCCAATTAACCTGCTAAATAGCACGAAGCTGGTGAGAAGTCTAATCGACTTGGAGACGGTTTGCCATGGCTGAAGTGGCACACAGTGTGGTGAAAAGCCCCCCCACGTGATGAAAAAGTGGGGAGGGGGGAGGAGTTTATCGACGATATGCTTCCATGTACCGTCGAAATGGGAAGAAAGTGAGCGCACCACCAAGTGTCCACTTCAGCCGGTTAGTGTGGATAGAACGTTGAACGTGAGGTAAGAGATCAATGAGAGCGCCTCTCAGGTAGCTAAAATTAAAATAATACTCAAAAGATTGAATCAGTCCAAACCGAGTGTTTCGCGAGCCTTGCTGAACCCAAATGGGCCGTTCGGGGAAAATGCAACGAAAAGAGCTTTCTTAAACGCTTGGTCCAAATCCTCACCCGGCTTTGAGGCTCTGAAGAGCCTCGTTGACGTTTCTCTGATGAAACTTGGTCATGTAGGAGTGCATCTCGGGATAGTTGTTCCTTATGTTCCTTTCCGTACTGCCATTAGGCACCGTGCCGAACCGAAAGGGAGGCGAGAAGTCGTTGGGGCTTTGGAACTAAAGACACGGAAGACAAAACACGTCGGTTGGAAACACTCGCCTCATGAGGCGAAGGGGAGCAAACGGCGAGGATGCATCGCAGACGACCGTCCGACCTTTTTGTCCGAGAGTCCTGTGACTTGGTCCACGTATTCCTCCTGGATCATGAAGGCGGCCAAGTTGGCAGTGTAGGAGGCCAGGAAGATGACGGCAAAGAAGGCCCACACCGACACCATGATCTTACTGGTGGTACCTTTGGGGTTCTGCACAGGCACGGAGTTGTTGAAGACCAGACCCCACAGCAACCAGATGGCTTTCCCGATGGTGAAGGACGGACCGTGCGGCTCTGAGGAGGATAGATACAGCCGACATAGGCGATGAGCTCAGTATAAACGTTGGTTTTCACACCGGGGCACGATGAAGCAATATGAGAACTCGGATTTAAACTTATTTCGATGCACTCAAGGTCACCGTGTAAAACTGAATTAAAAGATAACAGTCGAGTAAAATCAACTGAACAGAAAACCTCCTCATCATCGTCATAATAGTGTTCTGGTTAACTGATGCAACTGAAAAAAATGAAATCAGACTTTGAGATCGGTGGACAGAATAACTGCGTAACCCGCGGCGGTTCTGGGTTTGACACTCGGCTCTGCTTGATGGATAAAAAGATGGCAGCCAGGTACAGTTCCCTAAATTATAGTCATCTGCATTCATTGTGTCACATGCATATTATTTGACACACTTATCCACTGTATTGAGATTATGATCACGAATTGTGGCGTAGTGGAAAAAAAAAAAAAAACCTAATTAGTTCTGACTCATGAACTGAGAGCAGACTGTCTCTGTCTACTCATTATGGAGTGATATAGCACTTGGATTTGCAATGTCTGTGTGGGTAAGTGTGAATGTGGGTCTGTGTGTGCGCGAGAGAGAGCGTGAGAGAGAGAGAGAGAGAGAGAGAGAGCATGATAGGGAGACAGACAGTATTATGTGGGTTTGAATTGTGATATGGGTGCTTTGTACACAGACAAGCAGAGCCTCTTGAGCCAAATGTTCTCCTTTGTAAAGTTTGTGAGAGAGCCGGTTCAATACATTGAGAGGTGACGCTACAGTTCGCAGCCATTGATACTCAATATTTTTGTGTCGAATCCTTTGTGTCCAAACTTTGATCTGCACCCGTTATGCTTGCAAACTCGCTCGGTGCAAGAGAACAATAGCCGTTAAGACTGCATCCTTACAATATGCGTTGCCGCCAGTGACAACTTGATTTTGGGCAGTACGGAAATGTATGCAAATAAACTTGCAAATGCAACGTGTGGACCATTGGATGATGAAGAAAACCCAAACTACAAAACAAATGCAGCCGTAACCCCACCATATTTTACACCCTCTCGTACAGTAGCGCCGTGTGATCCAAGCCAGCACGTCTCGTTGTTGTTTGTGCGTTTACAAGTGTGCGTCGAGTTGCGGGCCCTCACCTCTGCCGTCAGCCAGACAGCGGTTGTAGCCCACGGGGCTGAAGTACTCAAAAATGAACACGGCAAACGCTGACACCAGCAACAGCATCACGAACATCATCACCCACACATCCGCGCTGAAGGGCTCTGGAGGGCAAGCCGGCAAAGAGAGAGGAGAAGGGGAGAGGAGGAGAGACGAGTGAGAGGGAGCCGGCGTGGACCAACAGTGATAAGAACGAGACACCGGTGGCGGGGGGGGGGGGTGACCCAGGAAAAAAAAGAAGGGTTATGTTGGGAAATGAAAGGGAACCAGAGGAAGTGTGTTTGAAAGAATGGGGAAAAAAAATGGCCGGTTTGAGAAAAGAAAGGACGAGTAGGAGAAATGGAGTTGAGTGGGAAGCAAAGGGCAAAGAGACAAAGAGTGCGAGCGAAACATGAATAAACCGCCAAATAGAATGCGGTTTTGCTTGAGCGAGTGCATTGTCGTGCACACGGGCTTCATACACTCTTCTTAACACGTGCTTAATCCAATTCCCATTCTCTCTTGTGACATCCGAAGTACTTGCAGCACACGTACGACATCGGCGCGCTCTCGTCCGGAACTCAAAAGCACGAGCGTGTCAACCTCAACATTTCATAAGATATTCATTGGACATTTCAGAAAATTCATATCCATTCTTCACCATCTTTCTAGCCGACGGCCACCGGCACAGACGTGAAGTGCGGACGCGGTACCGCTTCACGTTTCTATTCCAGCATTTACATTTACATTTCATTTTGGGAGAATCGCGGGTGGGGGGGGGTGACCCAGGAAAAAAAAGAAGGGTTATGTTGGGAAATGAAAGGGAACCAGAGGAAGTGTGTTTGAAAGAATGGGGAAAAAAAATGGCCGGTTTGAGAAAAGAAAGGACGAGTAGGAGAAATGGAGTTGAGTGGGAAGCAAAGGGCAAAGAGACAAAGAGTGCGAGCGAAACATGAATAAACCGCCAAATAGAATGCGGTTTTGCTTGAGCGAGTGCATTGTCGTGCACACGGGCTTCATACACTCTTCTTAACACGTGCTTAATCCAATTCCCATTCTCTCTTGTGACATCCGAAGTACTTGCAGCACACGTACGACATCGGCGCGCTCTCGTCCGGAACTCAAAAGCACGAGCGTGTCAACCTCAACATTTCATAAGATATTCATTGGACATTTCAGAAAATTCATATCCATTCTTCACCATCTTTCTAGCCGACGGCCACCGGCACAGACGTGAAGTGCGGACGCGGTACCGCTTCACGTTTCTATTCCAGCATTTACATTTACATTTCATTTTGGGAGAATCGCTGGCCTAACGCGGCGCTTGGTCGGAATATCAAATACGACAGTTATGCAGATGGCCGTTTCCATGAAAGCCCCGCAGAGAAAAAATGCCCAGCCCCCCCGTTGCTCACCTAAGAAGGCAGAGGGTGAAACGGTGCCGTTACTCCGGGAGACCATCACACTGATGCCCGTCTCGATGAAGGGGACGGAGAAGTCGATGACCTCTGACCTTTCCTCGTTGATGGTCAAGGAACCGACGGCCATGTGGGCTTTTTTTAACACCACCTGGACAACAAGGGCAATACGCTAAGCATCCATTCTCCCGACCCGTAAAAACAGCACAAAAAAAAAAAAAAATCCTCGATCAATTTCTTGTTTGCGGATTTCACCGCGTTTGAAGGAGCGTTTAACCTCTTGTTTGGTCTCGCTTTAACTGCGCGTGCAGCTTTGATATCGGACCCAGAGTCTTTCCTCAACCTTGATTGAGCCAAGGTGTAGAATTCTACATGACACAACGTCTCATGCGACGTAAACAAAGAAAAATGTCACGACGAGCGCACACGCGGGTTAATTGCGTAGCCTGTCGTGGTTGAGAACATTGCATGGTTCGGCCTGTCACTATGTGCTGCTGGCGCAGATTTAGCGGATCAATTATGCGAAATTGAATCATTTCGCGTGGCACGGCTGCTTGATCTCTCACGCAACACTAATGTCTCGTGGCACACAGGTTGGTCATCACTGCCAACGAACGCGTCAACGTCTGTAGAAATGATGTCCTGAGAAAATGGAAGGGGGTGAGGACACCGCAAGGTGCCTTTTATAACCGTCATGTTGCAACAAAAGAGTATCACTGAGCTCAAGAAACGAGAGTTGTTTTTTTTTCTAATTAGAAAATGATCAACGACAATCTAAATATGAAAAACCTAAGCGGCGCGCAAGGAGTAACTTCTGCGTCCAACGGAGGATTTTTATGACTGCGTTTATCGTTCGCATTGGCGAAGAACGACACTGCACCTGATTAGTCGAGATGTCACCGAAAAACGAATTGTTCTTATCTTGGATCTTATCAGGCTGTCAAACGGCAAGTTTTTAATGACAGATCCAGAGTGTGGATGTAATTAACAAAGGTAGGAGGGGAAGATGGACACTCTTACTGCCCACCGGGGGGAAAAGGGAGGGAAGAAAGTAGGTTAGCACAGAGGGTCATGGCTGCTCCAAATAGGCATGCCAATACCTGTCCTACTTCTACCGGCCACCGCCGCCCCCCCATCTCAGTACTTCGCCACAGGTATTTAGTATATTTAGCCTGCAATTTGTGCCTAAGTGGCTTGAGAACGTCGTGTTCATAAAGTGTGCCTGAGTCAAAGCTCCGGCATGCGGGAGAGAGAGTTGCTGCGCTTGTGCATGTGTGAGTCATGAAGAGATGGGAGGGAACCTTTGTTCCCCACCCGTGAAGAGGACCCTCACAGGTAGAGAGACACCCGGTTGTCGATGTGAGCCTGCGTGGTATGGCAACGAGTGCGTATTTACAATCTTTTTTGTCAGCGGGAAGAGCGCCTAATGTGTGAGCGTCGGCCCAGGGGAGAGAAGAAGCCCGTGCGGCAGTGTACTCACTTCCTCTCTCTCTTCATTTGCTCTCTCCATTTTCCTCCTACGACATGTTCTCTCCGTGTTATGAAAGTGACCCGTGTGGGTGTTATTGAGAATGAGTGAGCAAGGATCGGAGTTTGTGCGAGCGTGTGCAAGCGTCTCAGCTGGTGTGTGTGTGTGTGTGTGTGTGTGTGTGTGTGTGTGTGTGTGTGTGTGTGTGTGTGTGTATCTCGTCTCGTTGGAAGGCCGAGCCCAGTATATGATTGCCAGTAATCTTTTACAAGAAGAGTATGAATGGCAATGTCATCTCTTGCTGCAGTGAACAAATGCCACTTAATTGGAGAAGCAATTATTGACCCCCCCCCCCACACCCCCTCCTTCCCAAATTTGAACTATTTTCTTTTTGAACTTGTGACAAATTGTGTAAAAGCCCTCAAGTGATCTGGGTAAGTGTTCACGAGTGCGTACTGTGTGTGCGTGAGTACGTGTGTGTTTGTGTGTGCGCGCACGTGTGTGTGAGTGTAGGCGTGTGTCTCAGCATCGGTCCAGATCTCAGTCTAACTAAGAGTTGGAAATCAATATTTCATCTTTTTGGCTGTTTCCCAACTGGAGAAGGTCGCGGCGAGTCTCTATCAGACGGGGGTGTGGGGGGGGTAGCTACAGCTAAAGCACAGTGTGCTTGTGTAAGTGTTTGTGTGAGAGGAATTCAGTAAGAGAGAGCAAGGGGACACAACGGAACTGACATTTGTGCAATAATCAGTTTGTGTACGTGTTAGTACTCCTGCCTTGATACTCTCCTTTCCGTGTGTGTGTGTGTGTGTGTGTGTGTGTGTGTGAGTGTGTGTGTGTGTGTGTGCGTGTGTGTGCGCGCGAAATAGAGCTTGACAAATAGCCAAACCCCAACCCACTGCGAATGATCATCCATGTGTGGGGCCCGAGAAGAAGACAGCACATTATGACGCTTTTAGCAAGGGCGATGGCGTTTATTACAGGTGACTACACTTATAGCTCGTTGCACACTAAAGACACTAGCTGGCCCCGGCAGGGTAACTTAAATGGCTTTATATAATAGATGAAATGGGTCAGTTTAATGTAAATTGAAATGCCAGTGGCGGGGGAAAAATGGGCGCGTCGTCATGGAGCCCGTGACTTGTGAAGGTTACGCGGACTTGACAGTTCTCAGAGATTGACGCAGCCGTGTGTTCCACCTGTGACCTTTGAGCCGCTATTGATCTGCTTTCCCTTTTCCTTCATTACCAAACCACCAGCCAGACGGCACAAGCGCGGCTCGCCGTAACGGCTTGATGCACTGACAGCGAGCTTTGACCGGGGGACCGGGGCGTTGTTATCGAATGTTCAGAGACCGCTGACCTAACCGCTTTTGGCTGCTCAAAAGGGAAGGCATGAAAACAAACAACCATAAGGAAATTCATCCTTTAGACGGCCAAGCTAAATATAGCAGAGTTCGTTTGGCCTTTGGGAAGAAAGGCGGACGCTTTTTTTTTTTTTTTTTTAACCTTGGCCGACACATAAATGCAAGTCCTTTGTGATATACTCTAGCCAGTTTTATTCAGAGTTGTGTCCGTACGCTGAGGGCAATTCTACACTTTTGTATGTGAGTACTACTCTTGGGTCCTGATGTTGGTCCTGAGAGAGGGCCTGGGTAAAAGTGATTAGGATGAACTAGGGGTTGAGGTCAGGGCTCTCAAATCGGAACAGAGAACTTTTCGGTTCAACGGTTCCCACAAAGGGGAGTCATAAATCTTGGTCAGAAGAAGAATGAACATTCAGAGTCCTTAATGAGCAATAATGTAACCTTTGGTGGTCGTGTCCATGGGCCTGTTCAATAACTGAGCTCCAGCTGCCATTGGTGAACCTTCCAAATCTTACTGACTGAAAACAGATATGAGTGGAAAAAGCCCCTTCCCTTACCTCTCCCACCATGCCATTCCAAGTGCCGTTGATCTTCTTGCCGTGTTTGCCGTTCGTCACCAGATACAAGTCGTACGTAAACTTGACCGACTTGGCGATCTTCTTCAGGATGTCGATGCAGAAGCCCTTGCAGCAGCGCTTGATGTAGATCCCAGACTCCTTCGTCTGATTCCTGCATTCGAACACGCGATTAGCTCTTTTTGTGAATGAAAAAAAAAAAAAAAAACACGTGGCCTCGGGTCAGTTACGCCATCATTCAACGGAGCCGAGTGAAGCGCATTTAACGTAAACCAATTACAATTTCCGATCAAAAGGGATAGCGGGTGTTTGTGTGCCTTTCTGATCAATAATGACGGCGGCGTCTCACAATGTTTTGATCTGTTTGCGGCAGGGCACGGTGTTCCTCATGCAAGTGCCACTCAGCGGGTCCACGTCTTCCACGATGACAAAGGGAGCCTCCTCCAGCGTCACGATGGACAGGTGGTCGTCCTCCCTGGTTGCAATCCCGTCGTAGAGTTCATAGCGAGGCCACACGTGGTACTTCATGGAAAGCGACCCGTTCTCCCACTTGCCCACCTGTAGGCATTAAAAAAAAAAAAAGGACACCAAATGGGTTTGAAACGACAGCTAGAGGGTCAGTACCAAAAATGTCTGCGGACAGAAACACATTTTGCTGACTGAGGGTGATTTTAGACGGATTCACAATAACCCACAAAAGCTTTGTTGCTTTCACTTGGTGAAATAATGAGCTACGGGACTGACTGCACGAGTAAGATTACAGTAGGACAAAAAGAGGGTAGATGGGTGCTGCACGGGCCAAGGAAGGAATGTAAGGATTTTGGTGAGCACTCGTAGGAAAGTGCGGATTTATTTTCACCGTTTCAAGACATAGACGCATGAAGGCGACTGCCCACGCCTCAGAATAACAATCGCAATCAATCGTAACCAACCATCAGTCCCCATGAACCCGTAAGGAGCCTTATCATGAACAAACAGAAGGACAAACAAAATGAAGGCAATTTCACTTTTGATTACGAGTCGGCGTCGGTGGAGGCCTGCGCTCGGCTGAGTGACATTCGACTTAAATACTGTCATGACGGTATTGCTAAAAACAACGTACTCTGCACATCTAATAGTGGCCGAGAACCTTTGTCCAGCATGGTACTTCGGACATTGTGACTTGTTGTTTTTCATATCCCACAACAATACAAACAAAAAGGGAGGAGAGAGGAAAAAAAAAGGACCCTGATCTGAGAATGAACGAAAGGTTAAACTGCGAAGGCTGAAACTAAGAAATGAAACTAAGAAATGAGAATTCAGACCGGGAGTAACGAGACGGTCAAAAGGAATACGTTAAATGGGAAAGAAGAGAGCGGAAATTCTATTTGTGAGAAGCGGCTACAAACGAGATGGAAGATGGATGGAGCGAAAGCGTCACATGACCCGTGGAGAAGGGTGGGGGGGGGGGTGTCCAGATGTACGCTTGGAGGGCTGGCCAAGCCCCTTGTGGCTCTCCTCCAACCAAGAGTCATCAATTAGTCCATTTCCCCTGGTGCCGGTCACTCGACAGCACTCTTGGAGACTCTGCTGCTGCCTTTTTCTTCAAGTGTCCACTGCATTCAGTCCGCTTAAGGAGGACTAAGCGGCGATGGATCCGAGCGGTCGAGAATGTGTACATGTGCAGCCACGTGTTGCGCTGCGAGGAACTTGGCGGAGGGGCAGCGCGGCCCTCTTCAATCAACACGTATGAGATGATGCAATATAGACAAAGACGGAGACGGTGGGTCCGAAACATGACCGGACACTCCGGAGTCTTCGCACTCCTTCGAAAGGTGCCGGCAAGGACGCGTGTAAGAGCCGCAACTCATTAGGATCCACACGAGCGGTTCAGCTGCGAGTCAAGCTGAGAATTAAACATGAGTGAGAACGGCGGGGCGAGAGGGGCTGCGAAGAAGAGGGGGAAGGGGGAGACAGAAGGGGAGACGCTCACCTTGTTCTCTGATCAGAGGACAGAATATAGATTGGATGGGGGGGGGGGATGGAGAAATCCAAAGAGGAGAGAAGAGGAAGAGTCACAGAAGTCAGCTGCGAGAGCGGCGGCGGGGGAGGAGGTGGATGCGCAAGCGCTGACTTGACAGGTGGCGCTTGGTTTTGGCTTCATCTTAGGATGCGACGGACGCATCTCAGGACGATTAACCGAGCGCCGGTCACAAATGGCCTTTCTCTCTCTGCTCAAGACATTTTCTTCAACCTTATTTGATCTCAGAATTAAAAAGAGAAAAACATTGTTGTACTTTGCAATTCGATGTATGTTTTCCAACTGGCAGTTTTGTTCAAATGTGGCATCGGGCCAAAGAAGGAAGCCTGGTCAGAGGTGCCGCCGGGTATTTGGAGGCCCAATGAAAAAAAAAATACATCCATAAATAAAAACATCACTTTGGGCCCCACCACTTCAATACTGCAAAGCACATCTTATGATCAAACATTTCACAAACCCAAAGAATGGCGTAAAAATGTATTAAAGTAATCCAAACGATTTGATGCGACATAATAATAATAATAATAATTAGAACCACGTTTTAGATGTCGGAACACAAAAACGAATGGGGAATGTGATCAAACTACACGACGGTGATGGTCAGGATTCTGATCGTTTGTCACAACTACAAATAGCGAAGTGCCACTCTGGAGCGTGCGTAGCGCAGCGGCGTGCTGCGCAAAGGCACCTTCACCAATCTGATCAGATCTAATCAGTGCAGTCGGTGCCTGTCAAGCTTTGGGCTTTAAAGTGCTTCCAAACTGAAAATGTGATGAGGAGGGAACCACACATTTGCGTCCCCATCACGAAACTCACTTTGCTGTCATTGCTTCGAGTCAGCTTTACATGATCCGACCCTGATAATTTACTACTGATGAGCATGAACAAAATAGGAGAACAAAAGGAATTTAGTTGCGTCGTCTCCGGCGAATACGCCCACAAACGTACCCTGTCCCACTGTCTGTCCTTGTTGAGCAGAATGATGACCAGCTTGGGGTGCATCTGGTAGCCGTCCTCACTGAATGACAGATTACGGCCCTCAAAAGTCACATTCATCAGGTACCTGAGTGCAGAAAAACAAAGGGCAAGTATTTGATTGGATTTGAGCGAAGTTCACACACTGGACATATATTGAACGGCATTGCATATTGTGCATATTTGTTTGAAATGCTCTTACAAAAATACAGTTTCAACGAACAATGTGAGTGTCACGTTCATGATTGTGGTTATAGTTTGCAGTGTTGCATCATACGGATGCTTGTTTGTAATATTTGCATTCCTTCATGTTGTGACAAACGCTTCTCGTTTTGTGTACTATGATGTCACACAATTCACATAATTGAAAAAGCTACGGCCCGCCTGCGTTCGCAACCCGCCGTCGCAACACGAGCCAGACGAGGATTTACTGTTCCACGTTGGACTGTGACAAGCTCAGCTGAACTTGGTGGAGTTGTGCTTTGAGCCGACGTGTGCTCGGTGACTGGATGCCTTCTATTCGGAAACCACATCTCAGTGGCTGAAATACACCCCAAAAAGAAGCTCGGGTAATAAACACGAACAACGAGAGATGCAACTTTTCTGAATTGCAGACTCACTCGACGAACAAAGACATACCTCGACACATAAAATCTCCAGAGTGAATAATGAATTAAAAATGATTCCCTTGGTGGTAGATGCGCATTCTTTGTCATTCAGCGTGTCGGTTTCCGGCGGTGTGATTGTGTGGTGGAGGAGCAGAAAGCGAGCAAAAGCAGCATTGTTCCTGTCAGGTGAAATAATTTCACCTCGTTTCAGCAACGACACACACACACACACACACACACACACACATACATTTCAAACACTCATGCTACGATTATAGTGAAAGGGCGTAGGAGTGTGTGAGTGTGCGTACATGGGAATATTTGTCAGGTGAGCTCAAATCACTTCATACACACACACACACACACACACACACACACGGGCACTCTTGAATATAATGCAGAGCCCCTGACCTAAACCTTAACTTACAACAACAACAACAACAACAAAAAATAAATGATGTCCAACCCCAATCTTTTTTTCTTTCTGAATTCTTTAATTTCCAACCTCCCTTTGAACAGCGTGTCCTTAGATGACAAGCCACCGGAATGTGTGCAAGTGTGGAGTCGAACACTCTCACTGCTCCTCGGAGAGGGATAAAGATGCAACACATGCACAAAAAAAAAAAAAAAAAAAAAAAAAAAAAAAAAAAAAAAAAAAAAAAAACCCACAGGATCTCTTTCTTGATTCTTTCGCTCGTCACCCTTTACACTTGGTCTCTCACCCGCCCACCCCCTCCTCTCTCTGACAGTTTCCATGGAAACATTCCACCTCATAACCATGGCTACCATATATATGTAGATGAAATATGTACGAGAGGAGAAAATCTATCTATCCATCTGCCCGTGGATGCATCCACGTATCTACCCGCCTACCTATAGACCGTATATCCATTTTACAAAATGGAAGGTAATAATCCAGCAATTACGCTAATGCTCGCATATTTATTCGATTCCCTGCATTCAATATTGATCTTCTCACAATGGAATTTGATGGACGGCGACATCCGGGGATAACGGCATCTCATGCGGCCCCATGTGACCCGCGCACGGCCCCATCCCATGGAGCTTTGGCACAGATACAAAGTGCACGGAATGCGCTGCGTCAATCAAAGGCCATTTACAAATTGACTTGACGCCGCGGCCCCTTTCATCTCGACTGAGCCGGTGACGCGCGGCGCGACAGCGGGCCGATGTTTGCCACCGCCCGTTTGCCAGCGCGTGTGCGTCCCGCACCTGCCTGACGAGCGGCAACAGAAGCGCGCGTGTGTTGCCATGGCACCCACAACCACTGCGACTTCCGAGCCAATCCGCTGCGTCACTATGGTAACGGTAATCTCTCGGAGGGTGGGCGGGAACGAGACAGAGAGAGTGTGATGAGATTCAGAGAAAATAAGGGGACGGAGGGCAGGTGGTTGAGATTCAAATGTGTTCTTGCGTCATATTGGTTCTCGCACTGCCAGTCGGGGATTCGTTTGTTAATACGGACGGTACATTTGTGTGACTGAAACTGTACAAATGCACAGTGTCATATTGAGGACTTTTAAAGTTGTAATTTGTAAACACTCGGATTGAAAGAAGGTCGTTAAGTTTCTATTTTCCAAAGTTGACAAAGGCACCTAAATGATCGCTCCCCCCCTTTTGCAGGTAACTTATCGGATTCCGCAGGTCCCGCCGTGCGTCGCCGTGCCGTGCTGAAAGCTCCATGACTGAGGTCGCCATGGAAACTCTGGTCGCATTCCTTGCCTCCACCTTTTATGTGATGACGTGTCATTGTCACAAATTTCATTCAACTCAGCACCCATGATTCAATTCCAATGAAACGACCGTCCCGGTGAAATAACAGACGAGCAGAGAGCTCTCTCCACCTGTCCAATTAAAAGTACGGAAAGGCATTCGGAAATGAAGTGACCCGGTCACACCGTTGCTTTCATCCATGGTCCTATTTCAAGTTAACGTGTGAGAACAACATGTGAATAACACACCGCCGCTCACTGTGCTAAATTTCACGGGTTGACACAGATACGTTTGCGCGCGTGTTCTCAGGTGAATAATGGAGGAGGCGTGTGAAATATTGATAAGGCCGTTTCAATAAATTAACCCCAGAATAAATTAGTCATGAATGATGCTCCGTAGCAATTAGTGTGGCGCCGTGTACTTATTAGATTTGCACACGGGAACCTGGATGGATGGAAAATATGACATTTGTCACTGTGTGATCATGCAATATATACGGTGTATATACAAATACGGTGTATATACACACACACACAAACACACACACCGTACATATTGCCTGTAACATAATGAACCTTTGCTGCGTTCACACTTAGGGTATGAAGTGTGATTGTGGGAAAGCTGTGAACGTTTGTGTGTGTGTGTGTGTGTGTGTGTGTGTGTGTGTGTGTGTGTGTGTGTGTGTGTGTGTGTGTGTGTGTGTGTGTGAGATTGTGTTTACACGTGTATTGATCTGCAAGTCTTCTTGTGTATAGCTGTGCAGCGGAAACTGAATGGGGGGGAGGGGGGGGGGACGAAACGACGAATGTAAAGAAGCTAGTGCAGCGACAATGCCAGGTTGGCAATCAAATAGTAATCATCCCTAAATTGACCCAGATCGAGGAGCAGTCAAGCGCGACGCAAGCATGCACGCTCAGGTGCGGATAGCACAGCCCAGTCAGGTGATGATGCTGTTTTACAAGCACACACACACACACACACACACACACTCTTTCGCGGGCACCACTGAGGCAGCAGAAGTTCAAAAGCGTCCAGAGAGCGTTCAGAAGCGCTTGACACCTTTCCAAGCTCCGGCTCGTTTGGAACGTGGCCACGGCACGCGGGGTCGGCGGCCCTGCTGTCAAACTCGTGATCCTCACACTGTTGTGCTTTGTGCGCCTCCGTCGCTGGCCGGCTCTCTTTTTCGGATGCTCTCTTTTGTCTTCTTCCCTCTGTTATCTTTCCCTGTCAGGATACCACAGGGCTGCGTACTGTGGATTTCATTTACTTGTAGTCGTGACCTTCTCATCGTGTGCTGTGTCGTTTTTTTTTTTTTTTTTGTCCTGCAGTGGTTGCAACCATTTGATTGCTCATGGACACAAAAGAATATGAATATTGTTTTGTAAAACTAGGAATTTACATTTTAAAAAAGATCTAAAAAAGTGGAATGACGAGCAAGATTCAACTTTTTTTTACTTTTTTTTTTTTAAGTGCGCCATCTGTCAACATTTTTCTCTGGACTTTTTGATGCAAGTCGTTTTTAATTTTATGATTAGAATATGTGGCGGGACAATAAAAAAAATATGCGGCGTGCCACAGATCTGTTGCTTCCCCTCATTTGACTCGCATGATACAGCACAAAGTCGGTGACCTAAAGTAAAACTTTTGTCTGCAAATGCGAAACAAGTCGCGCGTCGCAGCTTCAAAGAAAAATCAAACAGGTTTTGTTGACCTGGAGAACTCTCGCTGATGATGGCCCGCTCTCTCTGAACCGCTGCGATTTCCCTGAAATGGAGTAAAAATACGTCGCACTCGAAAAAGGAGCGCGCGGTTTTATCGCTCCGGAAGGTAATTTGAGATGGGGCTGCTCAGAATAAACAGAAAACAGGAAATAGAGCAAGCGGTTTCTGAATCGTGCCCATTCTATTTCCACAGATTAATAACTACTCCTAATTAGTTTTGGAGAGTCAGAACAATTTCTAATCCAATTCCCATCATTTGCCGATTAGTCTTCCTTTCTGCAGCTGGGGTTCAATCAATTTTCCATGGTTTGTCTTTCCAGGACTTCTTTTCTCGCAGACTCTCAGCGAAGAGAGAATTAGTTATGACTTTCTGATAATTAGGCTCGTTTGAGCTACAGATGAGTAGCGAATGAAATAGAAAATCCAAAACAATGGTGGGGAGCGCGACCCAAACAGCAGGGGCAAATCTGGAAAAAGAAAGCTCTCGTTTGCCGCTGGAAAGACGACGGCGGTCGTGCAAAATCTGCCGCGAGTGTTCGATTACGTTGAAATGGAGTGATTGAAAAGGCCGCAGCATATGACTCGCGTCCTTTTCATCCTCATCAAACCATTCGGCGGAAGCATTTTGAATG